AAACGTACCTGCATTGTTTCGTATCTAATCTGCATGTTTCAGGATTCAGTTCCTGCCGGATCATATAATGATCCATTCTTGTCTAGTGTGTGTGTACCATCTGAATAGATGTAAAACTTCTCATTTTGCAGCGGGCCACCGGGGTCCCGGGGGGGTCGGTGGCCAACGAAGACACCCCCCCGGGATCCGTGTAAACGTACCTGCATGCAGTGGCCCTGGACGGCAACCCCTTCAGTGGGGGCCGTAGCTGGGCACTGCATATACGTTAGGTCATTAAACCACTCCTGTTAGGTTTAACTGAGTTGTTTTTGCACGTCCGATGCATTCCATCCACATCAGTTTTCCGATAAGATGTGTCAAAGTATCTGTGTGTAAAAGCGTATGTGTGTAAAAATGTCTGCATATAAAAGTGTTTGTGTAAAAGCTTCTGTGTGTAAAAGTTTCTGTGTGTGAAAGTGTTGGTATGTAAAAGTAACTGTGTTTAAAAGCGACTGTGTGCAGAAGTGTCTGTGTGTAAAAGAGTTTGTCTGTGTGTAAAAGTCTCTGTGTAAAAGTGTCTGTATATACAAGCCTGTGTGTGTAAAGGCGTCTGTGTGTAAAAAGCTTCTATGTGTAAAAGCGTCTGTGTAAAAGCTTCTGTGTATAAAAGCTTCTGTGTGTAAAAGCGTCTGTGTGTAAAAATTTCTGTGTGTAAAAGTGTCTGAGTGAAAAAGCGTCTGTGTGTAAAAGCGTCTGTGTGTAAAAGCTTCTGTGTGCAAAAGTGTGTGTGTAAAAGCGTTTGTCTGTGTGTAAAAGTCTTTGTGTAAAAGTGTCTGTATGTACAAGCCTCTGTGTGTAAAGGCATCTGTGTGTAAAATCGTCTGTGTGTAAAAGCATCTGTGTGTAAAGGCTTCTGTGCTCACAAGCTTCTATGTGTCAAAGCGTCTGTGTGTAAAAGCTTCTGTGTGTAAAAGTATCTGTGTGTAAAAGCGTCTGTGTGTAAAAAATTCTGTGTGTAAAAGCGTCTGTGTGTAAACGGCTCTCTGTGTGAAAGCTTCTGTGTGTAAAAGCGTCTGTGTGTGAAAGTCTCTGTATATAAAAGCGTCTGTGTGTAAAAGCTTCTGTGTGCAAAAGCGTCTGTGTGTAAAAGGTTCTGCGTGAAAAAAAATACGAAGAATACGATGCAAACTATTGTCTTGTACTTGTAAAATACTTTCTTGATACTACTCTGCTCGTCTGCCCACATTAGGTCTTTAATATATTGTCTTGTAATACAATGTCTCAATATTAACAACAGAAGACCCTGCTCCTCTACGCTCTCAGGCCATCCGTCGTCTAGTTCAGGTTTGGTAGGGGTTCCCTAGAAGTTGATCACCTGTAGCTGAAGTAGGTGATGTTGTCTATGTTGCAGATGATGAGGATGATGTTGTAAGTGATGTAAGGTTAGGTAGATTTGAAGATGTAGGTGATGTAGAGGGTGCATTGATATAGATGATGATGTAGGTCATGTATGCGTTGTAGATGATGTATGTCATGTAGATGAGGTTGATGGAGAAAGATTGTGTAGGTGATGTAGATGGTGTAGGTGAGATTGATGATGATGAGGGTGGTGGTGATGCTGATGATAATGATGGTAATGATGATAATGATGATAATGATGATGATGGTGCAGATGTAGATGTAGATCTAGAGAAGATGGTGTAGCAGATGGTATAGAGGATGTAGGTGATGTAAAGGGAAGACGAAGCGTTGATGGAAAGAACGCCGTGCAAAATGAAAATCCCTCCAGCAACGAGCTTTCTTCCATGCATGTCCCATTGCACTGCATTTAGAAACTATTTGACAAGTCTTGGGCACAGTTTTTCGGGACAATCGCGTTGATGGAATTTGTCCTAAAAAACCCGTGCCAACAGCTCCGCTCTTGGTCTCGCTCCCTGCCAACGAAGCTATGCGTGTCCCATGACCCATGGTTTGGAAACTTTGACAAGTCTTGGGCGCACAGTTTGTCGGAACTTTCGCATTTGTCCAACAGCTCTGCATTTTTTAAGTGTAAAATGTGGAGTGTAGAGTGTGGAGTGTCATCGCATGTCACAGCATGCCACACTTGCCACGGAATTTGCACGTTGTCACCACTTGAAACAGCCACAAGCCACAATCGTGAAGATGAAAATGGGCTGAAGCCAAACGCAGGCAATGTAATCGACCGGAATGGACTGTAGATTGACTTCCTGACTTTGTGCAAAATGATTTAAAAAGTATTGAGCAAACAAACCAAAGGGAGGCCCATCGCAAGTTGCGATTACAGGGCGCCGAAGGATGGGGGCCGAAACTATGGCGGGCAGGCCGAACTCTATACTGGAGACATTTGAGGTTTTGGATCGGCAACAATCCGAGTAATGGACCAAGGATAGTCTTCCTGCCTTCAAGACTGTCTGAGACGCAGGTCGAGCCCGAAAAGAAAGTTGGCTTTTGTCGAGTCGCATGCATCTGTTTCTTTGACTTGCACGGCAAGTGACTGCATTTCTACCGCCAGCTGTTCCTTTGGAACCTGCGCGTACAGAGACGTTGTCGACATCTCAGCTCAGAAAGAAGGCTCCCAGGAGCCAAGCTACCTTGGCCGGGGAATATAAGGATGGGATGACATGGATGGTTCAGTATGGCAGCACCGCATCGCGACAAAAATGGCGGTGCTCCGCATTCGAAGATACCACGGCAGTCTGGGTCATTCGGATCGCCGCATTGGTGATAGGGTCGATGCGATCCTCCTGCGCCAAACGCGAAACGACAAATGGAATTGGCCTGCCGCATGCTCTATCGGAAGGGACCGCTCCGAACATGATTGGAGTCAGCCGAGGATTAGATTGATTAGAGACATTGCTAGCTCAAGTTACCAATTCCGACAAACCATGACCTAAGCCATCAACCATGACGTGGTTGATCTTGTTGGCCCTTGAACTTGCACTGAGGCTCTGACGATGGTGACGACCCAGTAATTCACTGAAGGCTCCAAGCCCAAAGAGTTGCGAATCCTGGCTATGACCTGGCGACGAAATTGGCCCATCTTGCTACGCCGTTGCTCACCCGCTATAACCCGTTATAACCCTGTCAAACCTGGTGTTCCAGGGCCTAATTTGAAATTTGACAGTGTCAGCACCAGCAGTAAACTCAGAATACAAGGATCTACAAGGTATCTGACGGTGCGAAAGGTATGGGTCCATAGTTCAATTGGCCGGCAGCACGGCCAGCCCCTTGACTTCTTCTGTCATCCGCAGGTCCACCAAAGAAATGTTGTAAACAGTTTCGTCGCAGCCTCATGGTCCACCAAACAGGCCTTCCACTTTTCACCCAGCTATCACCTGCAAATTTTACTCCAGCTATCCGCAAGATCCCACTTGAACATGTAAATATGTGAAAATAAGTTAAAAGGGCACGCTTGAAAAGGAACATCAGGAGCCTACCGCCACAGAAGTCGGACATCTTTTGCAACCCTCTGAAGCTTGCACCCAAGCCACAGTCATCAACACATGTAACAAGGGAAAAAGCTGGAAAAACCTTAGAGACAACCTGATCGCCCCGACTGTGCTCGGGACACAGGATCTGATCTGTGGCGTCTTTGATTGCAACTGAAGTCAAGGCCTCAGGGCGCGATGATGCGATGCTGAGCTTTGACTTCTCAAGTCCATTCCGTGAGATCTGTGGCCGCTGCGGCTGTGGCCCTGACGTTTCCCAAGGTGCGGTTGCACGAGTCCACGAAGTACACATCGTAGCTATCGATCTGCAGTCATGCAGTCATGCTGGCACGCCTTGATCACATCTGTCATTTTCTCATTTTTTCCTCTTCATTTTTCTTCATTTTCTAATGTCCTGCTTTGTGAAGATTTCTTTGGCCTCATCCTCGTAAATGGTGCCCTTGCCACTGAATCTCAATGGCGTGTTGGATCGGAAGTCCCGAGCCTGCCAAAGCACAGAAGTGATTCTTGGCCCTAAGCAAAACCAGAACTGCATCCCAATTCTCTCCTGTGTTATAAAACACGTTAGACACATTTGATTTGATACTTTCCCCCCCGTTTCTCCCAATTATAATCAAATAGCTAGGAGAAAAATGCAGAACATACTTCTTCAATCTTCTTCATCACTTTCCTGAAGGATTTCCTCGTCGCCACTGAGGGCATCGTTTCGTGGCCTGTCCGGCATTGAGCATGGTGTCCAGCTGAGCACGGCCAAAGGAGATGTTTCCTGCGATGAAACCTGCGAAGGTTTGAAACATTTCGAACCGAGGGAAGGATAATGATGGACAATACACAGATATGCACAGTATAATAATGGGTAATCAGGCTAAACGCATGGACTGATACATAGTGGACAGCGAAAAATGAAAACAAAAAGACAATTTCTGAATTCCAAGGCTGTATGATGAAGCGATCTGGCCTCCGCGACCATCTTCATCCTGACGTGCTTCAAAGCTTGAACGCAACCCTTTTGCGCTGGTGACATTCCCAGAGGTCGATCCAAATCATCACATATTCCGAAATTCCCATGAATGCAAAGGAAAAATCTTTGTAAGGAACATACAGCGAGTTTCTTTTCAAACACACCTCTTTCAAAGTGGCCAGCCTATTTCAACTGATTCAAGGATTTACCGATTTACCCAGAGTCTCACAGCACGCCGTGCTCTCCTGGAAGTTGCCAACTTTGCAGGGCACCGGCGGCGCACAGCCCACTGGATACCTCAGCCGTAAGAGCCACAAGGAGTCGCTTCAGCACGAGCAGCACCATTTCACGGCTGCAATGCATGGCACATTATGGCAACAATGATATTGTAAACTTCCATGGCACCAAGGGTGGGATGAAGACAAGATACGTAGTGGTTCGGCACCCTGCTTGCATTCCTGGCAGGAACTGGTTCATGAGAGGCTGTGAGTCAATGTGTGCCTTCTCGAATGACTTACAGTACCTGTGACCTCGAACCAAATGAGGTGAACCAAAGGTGTAAGCAATCTTGATTGTCCCTACACTAAAAGGATACCAGCAAAGTCTCTTGATCATCTTGTGATCACTCTGCTTTCACTCTGCTTTGCTTGTGGCCAGAAATCTCTCCATCTTGACAGCGCCAAAATTTAGCCAAAGTTTCGGCATACTGTTTGGATGCGCCCTGCGTATCCCACTCCACAGCGATACCCTTCGTACGTACCTTAGACCGCAAGGCTACTTCGATGCTGTTTTGATCTGGTGAAGAACTGTGATGAGACGGACTACCCCGGGTAGATATTTACTTCCAAAAAGTTGAATGTCGATGACTGAACGTGTTGGCCACGCAGCGCCGACTTTTTTGGAGCACTTCAACAAACGTACCTCAAAACTTCGCTTTCATGTCATCCTGTCAAAAGAGGCCGCATGATGGAGCAAGGACCTATTCCAAACTGGATGAGTTGAAGATTTGGAGAGGAAAAGGAGGAGCAGTAACTGGCTCAAGAAACCCTGCAACCACAGGGCTGAGGAAAACCGAAGACTCCGTTGACATGAGCAACGCTTTGACACTGATTTCGTTGAATAGCCCATTGCAATTTTCAATCCATTTTGCGGGCACCTGAAAACCTTTTCGAACCACATTGCCAGCATTTCAGGACACAATCTTGGCTTGCAACAGCAACGCCCCAAACAGGACCACACAACTGCAACATGGGCTCGCTCAGGCTTCCATCAACCCAAGGCCCTCCAATGAAACAAGCCCGGGATTCTCTCAAGGGTTCCCAACCTGGTGACTTAATAGCCCTATTGTTTTCCCACATCCCCTTGCGTCATTGTCCGGTAGAAACCAAGCACGATTAGCTACGAGATTAGCTATGAGACATCCGTGGCACCTGCCAAACTTGCAACCCAGCCACTCGAAAAGCCAGTGTCTAAGGGGATCGGGTCAAAGTTCGATGGCAGCGTACCTGCGATGTGCTTCTAAGAGTTCCAAGGATCCACTATGATCCACTTGGCTGTGCTCAATCTTGGACCAAGACAACACCAAGAGACCAAGAGCTTTCACTCCACCTTTGGGCTCTGCTGCATCAAAATTTCAGCATGTCCGGAAAGCAAGTTGTCTGAGTGTTACTTGCTTTTCTTGGTGTCTATGTCAAAGTGGAATGGGCGGACATATAGGGCTTCGGAAGAGCAAGCCGTCTGGCTCCGTGTTCCTCACCTAGCGAGCACGACATGCCAGGCCAAACCGAATCCATCGAATATCCATGATCGAAGCACAATGAGAAAACCATAGGAGCCATGGATATATCTGGATTGTTATCCTGAAGCTTTGCCCTCTACTGACGTGTTCAAAGTTTTCAACGTGCAAAGACGCGGTTTTCACTGAGCGCCCGACAGAACACGAGGCAACGGTTTGAGCTCCAACGAATGGTGGGCGACACGACCTGAGCGCAGGAAGCATCATGAACCCCTTGACGAATCAGTTATGTTTCCCGTTATCAACTGTTATCAACTTGGGTTGTTGAGTTTTCTCCCACTATAGTTGGGACATGTCCCCTTTATCCCTTTTCAACATGTTTCTTCCAAGGCGCAATGTGCAGCGGCTTCCAGGTCGAATGCTGCCACATCGTGAGTCATCCACACCTGCCGATGGTAAGATGATCAATCACCAGGGCCATCATGGAATGTGAAAGATGCTGACCCAATATGCAACTGTCTTTAAGTCGGGTGAAACATGGTGACCAGGAATACAGCACAGGTGGAAAATTGCAATTTTCCCTCCGGAAAAGCCGTACTCCAAGATCTCCAAGCTTGAAACACAATTTTCCCCATGGTATCCATCTACATCTAATCTGCATCTGCAGGGTCGGAGGCTCAGGCGACAGGTGTCCACCACTGGAGCTCGGCAGGCAATGATGGGCAAGCAGCCCGACAGGAAGGCCTCATTCTCATGTCATAATTTGATCTCGGACATATTTCAATCTCAATCAACTATCAACTGAATGGGAGAACATGGAATCTTAAAACATTTCGCTTATCTTTCGTGAGGTCCCCAGCCACCACTCCACAGGTGGCGTTGCCACTGCAGACGCGTTCTGCGATGCCAACATATCCGGGAGCACAATACCAGCCTCAGCCGGACGCATCCGGACGCCCAATATTGGACCTGTCACGAAATATACATTGACATCCCATCATATCAAGCCCGCAAAAGTCAATTAAATCTGGGAGCGTTCAATCATTGTCCATTTTGTTGAAGTTAGTCACCCATAAGTCGACTGGAATGATTGTGGAAAACCAGCGGACATAACCAACAAGTGGGACTTCCAGCTAAAATCCATCGGATTTTGATGTGCTCCAACCTGTTGGGCTTTGCTGTAAAGCAACGTGGTATTCCGTGTCCCACCGCCACCGGATCGTTTTCATTGATGCCGAAGGCATAGCCTGCAGGGACCTTAGCACCCAGCAACCAGCAACCCTCTGCAAATGGCGGAGGGTTGATATGGTTGATAGGAAAATCAGAAGATTTTCCGAGGATTTGGTGAGATTTTTCACCGAAAGGGACATTTTGGTCACCAAGTCACCGGAGATGGATCCTCACATTCAAACACCGAGCAGTTCCTTGGAGTCGGAGTCCGATCGTTGCAGAAACCAACAAAAACGGCTGTTGCACTGATCAGTCGTGTCTTGCTATGGCAATTCAACAGCGGAAATCGACCGAAACATATCGAAACATTGCCATGCGATGCTGAGACTACTAGGAGCCCAGCGGAAATTGCAGCCACTGGAGTTCCGCGTCTGGCAGCAGGTTATTCTCCGGACATCGCGCCAGCGCTGCCGGGCCGTACAACTCAAAAGGCCTGCGGTCGGAACTTCTGTCGGGCGACAGCAGCCCCAATAGCGACGTCTCTGTTGAAAAAAAGGGCAAGCAAAACTCAATTCCGAAATGTGTAGTTGGACTTTTTCCAATTCAACAATCCAAAGTGGGTAAAAGGGGTAAGTTGAATAGGGCGTCGATGTTTCTACAGTGGGCGACCCGCCGACATCTGCGCTGAGGCAGCCGACTGGATACAACGCGGTCGGCAGGACTCCCCAGGCATCACATCCCTGGCAGTCGCTGCTGCAGCGTCAAATCACAGTCTAACGCATTCCATCTGCAAAGTAAGAACCACCAAAAAAGATACCATTTCAATAACCATAACATAAGATTGGCCAATTCAAATAAAATTAATTCCATTCCATCATTCTGTAGTCATTGAATGCGGGCGCAACTTGGGTACTTTGACATCAATCGCCACGCGTGTTGAATGGCGGTGTTTCGGCTCCTGCATTGCGTCATATTGACCCTGCACGGGTCCACCGGCGGCAGCAAACCTGGGTGGCAAATCATCCTACATCGTCAATGATCAACGCGTGACCAAGGCTTCAGAAAAAGAGATTTTCAAAGATGGAAACCAACTACGATCTGAAAAACACCGAAGCCCAAATAAACAAAGGGAATAGTAACAACCAGAATGCCAAATATCTGTATATAATTTGTATATATCTATATTGTAATCTCTTTACGGCAATGAACTTAGTGGGATCAACATGGCATCACTATGCATCTTTTTACAGATCGACATCCTGAGACTCTGGACATGGCATCAGCTTCTGACAGCCTGAGACGAAGGTCGTGACCTCCAGCGGAAAGTTGTGGAAAGTTGCGACGAAGGTCATTTTTCGGCGCTTTCATTCGTGATGCGCGGCAATGTTTATTGTTCGTTTGTTTCTGTCTGTTTCTGTCTGTTTCATCTGTGGGTTTGCCAAATGTTTGCTTTGTTTCCAACTGCGAAACAACATCTGGATATTTTCTGTTTTCTTTTGCATCTGAGACTTCTTTGAACATGTGCTGGAAAGTTATCTGTGGGTCTCGCCTCGCACGTCATGTTATTGACGATGCAAACCGTGGATGCAGGGCCAAGATAACCTGACAAATAAGAAACAACACAAATCTTCTAGAAGAATCCAAGGAGACAAAACAAAAAGACCAAGGACATCTGAATGTCCTCTCAGACCAAGATGTGAAAACATGCGAAAAGTGAAATATAGGATCTTGAGTTCAAGAAAACATATTATGAATATGACATCGCTCTTTCAAACAAAGTGAGTGTTCCTCTTAAACTCTACTGAATGCTTCTTCCAAGCTCAGCCATGGGATAGTTTTAATTTGCGACAAGTTTAGACATGCATGTCCAAAGTCCGAGGTCTTTTTCAATCTTTCTGGGTGAAATATGATAATAAATTGGGTTGTATCTCTATAAATAAATTAAACCAGGCTCAAATGACATGAGCGACCCGATGTCTTGTGGCCGAAGCGCCTTCTTTGCAGCTGGCAGTTCTGGTTGCTTCATCCCACACAAAGCCATCTGGCATGGGATTTGGCGCAGGACAGCGGAGCTCGCACCTGGTGCTGTGGGTGATGGGCAGAACACGGGACTGAAATGAGAAATCCCAAATCTGTCTATCCATCCCAAATCTAAAATCGATCTATCTATCCATCTATCTATCTATCAAACTAATCTATCTAACCTTATCTATCTAATTCTTACCTATCTAACCATACCGATGCAATTTTATCTATCTAATCTTCTCTAGCTAATCTATTTACCTGTCTACCTATCTACCTACCTACCTACCTATCTATCAATCAATCTATCTATCTATGTATGCATATGTATGTATGTATCGAGCTATGTCTCAATCTAACGAACTAACTAATCATATTCATCTAGTCTTATCTATCTAATCTTAACAATGTAATCTGATCTAATCTAGTCTATCATAGTCTATCTAATTTTATCTAAGCTTATCTATCTAATCTTGTCCATTTAATATTGTCTATCTAAGCCTATCTATCTAATCTTGTCTATCTAATCTTATCTATCTAATCTTAATCTTATCTATCTAACCTTGTCGATCTAATCTTATCTATCTGATCTTACCTGTCTAGTAATATCTATCTCATCTCATCTATCTAAGCTTATATATCTAATCTTGTCTATCTAATCTAATCGAATCGAATCAAATCAAATCTTAACTTATCTTGTCTATCTATCTATCTATCTATCTATCTATCTATATATCTATCTATCTATCTATCCGGGGTATATGTCGCACTCATTTGGACAATAGGGCACAACCCGTTGAAAAACATGGGGTACAAGTACGGTATGATATGGCTAAGCATTATGATATCAACATACATTAACGTCTTTTGCCTCAACGAACTATCCTCCAAACTGCAATCAATGAGCCAATGTTCCCAACAGGATATAACAGGGGTGAAATGTGGCTGCAAATCGATAAGATCAATAAGTTGGTGGCACGGGAAACATTGGAAACACCTGTTTCCTTTGAGGCTTCCACGTTGGATGCGTCCATGTCACGGTGCGCATTGGATCAACCTGAGGCGGACTCTGTCATGGAACAGTGACGGCATCGATGGATGACACACATAACATAACACATATTGACACATTAGACACTGGTCATCTGATGTCATCAGTAAAATCAAGCCAAATCTTTGTGAACCGCTGTCATTTGACAGTAGCTGTCCTCACCAAAAGGAAAGTTTGCCTCAAGCTACGGAGTGACAACATATGGCAACTTTGATTTTTGCGGCAAGATGCATTGTCGTCGGGGCAGGTTCCCAATGTACTTTCGATCTGGCAGGAACTGTGAAATGCAGGGTCTATGGAATGCCACAAGCGACTCTCTTAAACTCTGACGGAGAAACGATGCAATACCGATGCAACTCAGCCAGGAAGACGCTTGTCCACGGCTGGCGGCAGGTGACGAAGCACGTTCCACCTGTGCGACCAACACGGTTGCCACTAGATGCCATACTGATCACCTGAAACTTCCGATTTTGAACTTACAATAGTTGAGCACAATTTTCACATGCAACACCCACAATGTCACTCATCTTCACTCCCATGTGCCTGGTTGAACATCAGTGCCTCAAACAGTAGCATACAGTGAGCTTTGAAAATGACGATGGCTGGGCTGCAATGGTTCCAGGGCTAATGACAAACGGACCATGACGGATCGATTCCACAGGACTGCTATGGTGGAGCTACCAGTCCCGGTCGTGTACTCCTTGTTCCATGTCTTTCTCGTCTTTCTATGTCTTTCTCATAACTTGTTGATGCCGTTGTTGCAGGTGGTCATCGATGTGAAAGTGATGTGGAGATAATGAAGAAAACGCTCACGCAATTGATGAAGAAAAACGATGAAATGACTTTGAACATGACGATGGTTGACGATGGTTGACGATGGTGATCAGCAACATACTGTAGTGGATCATGCAAACCAAGCCAAACAAAATGATGCCACTGACCACGAAATGAACAAGGACGCTGCTGTGTCGACTATGGCCAATGACAACGACAATTGACACGACTGAGGAGGGTGAGGAGAATGGACTTGAGGGGGCTCCGGGCTTTTAATTTTTATAGGAATAAACGGACTTTGGCTTCAGCTATTGCTTCAACTGAAACATACTGAATCTCCAGCAACTGATGCTACCATTCATGAACTTACTATCAATGTTCGTCATTCACTCAAATGTAAAATCTCAATTTCGGATGGTGAAAAACCGGGGCATGTCTCGGTAATTTTTGTAGTTTTTCCCGTCCCACGGCAAACAAACCTGAGGTGCCCGGGCAATCCGAGACGTCTTGGTCGCAAGAGGTGGGTGTCAAGTCGCGGCAGGGCTCCAGTTTCTGCCGAAAACAGAGGAGCTACGGACTGATTGGCACAGTATAAAGCAGTCAAGATTGGTGCACTCTTTGGTGAACTCGAGAGCTGCTGTTACTTTAGTTTATGTTCTTTTCTTCGGGCTCCGAAGATCAAGCAAAACCAAGTCCAAGACCTTTCAAAACAAGGACTCCTTAGATATTGCAAGAATGTTTGATTGATAGTCAACATTTTCATCAAATAATGGAACCTGTTTGGAAATCATTGATAGGCAGATTTGTTGCCCTGCGCCTCACAGCCCACCAGCTCAGAGTCTGCGATGCACGTCTGGCAGGGTGAAAAACGAGTGGTCAAAAGATACGTCGACCAAGGAAATCTGATTCGGCATACCTCGGCATACTTCACATGGATCGATTCCGTCTCAGGCTTCATCTTCACCCACTCTGAGAAGATCTAATTTGTCTTACCTATATAGCTACTGCCTATATCTGCCATGAAGCACGTCTCGATCTTCCATGAACTTTCTACATGTTCCCTCAAAACGACCTCAGTTTCCATCCAGATCAGCGCCTCGCCCACTCGACAGCGCGCTTCGGCCGTGCCGGCATAGCCCTGCCAGTGGCAGTTTCCAAAATGGATGAACCAATTGAAACCTTTGGAAATATGGATGGATGAAACTTGATGAAACCACATGAAACAGTAAAACATGGAATGATCTGAGGGTTTGGCTGGGTCGCAGGACCACTGGCCGAAAATGTCTTGAGAATATCCATCTGGAATCACCTCAGGCGCAGAACCTGGAGGCTCCTGGTGCCGTTTCTTTGACGAACCGCACAACTCAGGTGGGAACCGGCGGATCCGAACAAAGACATGATATCCTCAGCTGAAACTGTGACAGTCACTGCCAACTGAAACAGAGTGACACACAGCACATCAAATTTAATCAAATGAGATCCATCTCTTGAATCATCAATCCTAATTGCAATCAACTAAGCAATCAACTCATGTACCCGACCAGCATCAACCATGAATCAACAACTCAACTATTTTCCAGATATTTCTCGTTCATTTGGACATATTTCGACCATGAAGAAAACCTGTGATTCCACCATAACCCTGATGACCCTGAGGCGGTGTCAGGTCAAACTCCAACGGCGTGGTGGGATCCGTGTTGCCCGCAGGGCACGATGCCAAGGACGACGGACCGAAGAAGGGCGGTTTGCATCCGATGGAACATGATCCTCCAGCCTGGCCGAAATGTGTTAACGAAATTTCATGATGTGAATGCATGATGATATTGAATCTAAAAATGATGGTGCAAATGATGACACAACATGTACATATAGGTAAATATATATATAGATACAGATGGTGTACATATTATGTATATATATATATATACATACATAGGTATATATATATATATTGTATGTTTACTCTGTTGCCATCTGTCTTCATCGGTTTTCGAAACAGCCAACTCCAGGGCCTCCACATCCCAACATCCCTTGGCGATGCCACGGCGTGCGGCTGAAAACTCATCTGAATCAACCGACCCATGACAGGTGGATGAAATTTGATCAGAATGTGTCATGGTCAACTGAGTTATACCGGATTCAATTCACGTATTGTCATATCATATATGGTTATATCGTATTGTCATGTCTCACCTAGATATAGAGCTGATAGAGTTTTCTACCACATCACATACCCAATATCTACCAATCTAAGGCTGTCCCATGCTTGCTTATTTGCTTATGGTGACTTGCAGTTGCTGGGTACAAAATGTCAGCCAAACAAATCAACGATTACCCATCGCATTCCATCGCTATCAGTTTTGCTTCAATTACCTTCGCTTCATATCATTCCACCCTTTTAAATTCACCAGCCACTTTTGCAAAATGCAGACCAAGCCTGATAAAAGAAGTCACTGGGCTGCTATGGGAACTGCTCTTGGTTTTCCAGATTTCCTGGAACTAGTTTGTTTGGGAACGGTCCCAGAAAACACCAGGTTGGTACTGCAACTGCAACAAAGTACATATTTTCCGGTGGAGTTTTGCTTTACAAAATTGCATTCCATCGAACACACCAAATTCAAAGATCTGATTTTCCAGGATTTTCCCACAAAAAAGCACAGTGTTGGTTTACATCCCGTCTCTAAAGTTGCGTTGCCATGTTTTCCCACCAATTTGCTGGGTTTTCAGGTCCATCTTTACCAACCAACGACGTTGTGCATTGTGCCCAGCGGCCAAGTTGTCGCGTTCGCAGGGCTCGATCTTCAGTGGTGAGCACTTCACAGGTTTCACGCAGCCCGTCAGCTCTAAGACCTGGAAACCGGACTGGATGAGGATGGGTTTGCTGGGTTGCTGGGTTTGATGGGTTTGATGGGTTTGATGGGGTTGGTGTGTGACATAGATGTGATGTGATGTGACTTGTGTCCCTAGTGGCTGAACGATTCTGTATTAAAAATGGTGATTGGATATGTCATGTATTACGATCTTGTAATTCAAGAAACATCAAGAAACTTAAAAGTATGACACTTATATCTCCTAAGATGTGGCGATATCCATGCGTGATTGGCTGGCAGGTGTTGGCAGAAACATGGTACATCTCCATTACTTGGGGGGATCCGCCAAATAGTGATGCCAAATGGTGATAATTCTGGATACTAATATATATTAATACATGCTCATTGATGTTCATTGTGGGACTCACCAATTCGTCACCTGTGCATTAAACCTGGGACATTCAACTTGAAACATCGACTGAAACCCCGCCTTGTTGCACTGTGCGTCGTGGCCACATCGATGTGACACGAAGGATCCTTAGTATGCTGAACATTCCGAGGTCTGTAATCCTTAAATCTATCTCTGGATTGAATACGTGTACTGAACATGGGAAAATTGGGAATTAGTATTGGTTTGGTACTGGAATTTGGTTCGTCTATTTTTTCTTTTTCCTCAAATAGACCCCTCACATTGAATAGATCCAGTACCACACCTGGGTTTTGATTGGTATTGTATTGGGGGCGTATTCTTTTTAGCTTACAATCCATTGAAGAGTTGATGTCGAAATCCAAAGGCGACAGTTCCAACCCTCTGAAAACATCTATTCATGGGATCATCCAATTTCATCGTCGGTGCCATATCAAAGCCTGGAAACCACTGACTAAGACTAAGACGACTGACTCATGGAAACATATGGAAACAACACGTTCCCGGAATGCGAAAAACCCATCTTTGAAGGGCCATTGTAGTGAATCAAAACTTGAATCCCTCGGAGAGTGGCCCACATAGTCATCTTCACAGACCACGTCGCGGCCGTCCAACTTGTAGCCTGGCAAAATTGGCAAATCATTTGAATCCGTCGCCTTGAGATACTGCAACTTGCAGTAACTGTATGGTTTGTTCCAAAATGTAGGAAATTTGCAAAATTAGATGGTGAATTATAGGCTTTGGCCCATCCCTAAGTCCCATGCTGAGACTCAGATTAGTGGACCACGGAATGTACTGTTTACTATCTGTTTACTAAGGATGCACTTCCTGAAAATGAAGCACAGAAGCCTGTTGGCAGTACCGCCGGCAAGGGACAGTCGATTTCCTGCAAGGATTCTGCAGAACTCTACTCTCCAAACGTGACAATATTTTGATCCAAATGTGGTAAAACCAACAATAAAAGAACAGAGTAAGAACCCTTCTTTGGGTAATAAAATATATTATATTGCATGTAGTGTTACCCTTCAGATGCCCACATTGGGTCAATTGGGCTTTAATCATTACCCAATAGATGGATCATCTGGTCTACAATCTCCAGCTGACACCACGGCGACAAACTGCGCTCCTCCGCGACGCAGCGGGGAGCCGTGAATTTCAGGCCATTGTCTTGCACATTGCCTGAATGGATGAATGGATGGGAAGAACTCTGGAAAATATGCGAACTGTTAACTGTTAACCCTCAAATAAGCAAAAACATCTTGTAGTGGTTGGGAACACGTCTCACATGACTCACACATATAACAAAACATCCTGCAATTGTTTGTATGGACAGTTCATCAACAGAAATATGGCAATCTTTGTCTCGCACCAAACTGCTTTCCAATTCACAAGACTCCCTGCCTTCAGGACACATTGCCTCCACTGGCCTTGTCGCGAACAGAACTGCGAAGCTGGGGGTACATTGGTCGGGGTTCATCTTTGAGGATTTCAGGATCTAATTTTCACAAGTACATCAGCATAGATTCACACTCCAACCTGAACCAACATCAAATCTACGGGATGAAAAGGATAAAGCTCTATAGACATCAGCATTCAATCATTGTCATAAACATATCTAAACATATGATCTTATAGATAAACAGTCATAAACAATGATGCTTGCTAAGCCATGATAAACCGCTATATAAACAGCAACTTTCATATCTTTCATGACATCAACATGACATCATGACCGACGCCGGGGCTCTGAGCTGTCCGGCTGCCCTGCATAGTTCCCAGCACAGCCGATGAAACAACTGGAGTTGGGCGCTACGCTGAGGCAGTCGGAGACCTCGCTTTGAAAGGAGGCCCAACCGGTTGACCCGCTTGACTTGCCATATGAAGGGAATATAGCCATATATAATCATATATAATCATATATAATCATATATAGCTATATTATGCACCATTCACAAAGCAAAATCGGATATCAAAAAAATTGGATATCAAAAGAACACCAATTGGAGATGATCTTTAAGAAAGAGTTGAGAGTTGATTGTTCTTAGGAGGTGAGCCACTGAGCCACGCAAGGCCAAATCAAGTCAAATCAAGTCAAATCTTGTCAACGAGCAGAACACGCAATGGGGACATCTGGGGACATCTCAGTTTTATCTCCTTGGAAAAATCTGACACAAGATGCCAGGAACAGTTACAACGTTACAACGTTACATTACCAGCGTTACAAACGTCACAAACGTTACCGTTACAACGTTGTTTGTTTAAGCCCAGGGGACGTCGTACTGGCAGAGGTCCAATGGAGGCGCCAGGCAAGGCCTCACGGCTGGTTTACCATGTTCTATAGTGATTGTATCATGATGGGATAGTTTTCATGGTAACAGGTGATAATTTTGATGAAAAAAATCATTTCATTTCCATGTTTTTTTCATCGAAATTCCCGACATGGCCTGGTCGTGGGAATGCAGCCTTCAAACTTCTTCATCGAGTCGCAGCTTTCATCCAACCTAAGCCATAAAAAAAAAAACTGCAGTCAAAATAATATTATCTTTAATGCCAACATGATCAACATGATCAACATGTGCGTCAGCTAAAACATTAAAACATTGACATTCCTCATGTGAATCTGATACCTTTTTTTCATATCTTTTTTTCATATCTGCGATCAAGTTCAGATCTTACCTCAGTACGCGCGCTTCAAATAGGAGATCCGGTGAGTCTCCAGCTCACAAAAGACATTGGCCGTGCCATTGAACCGATCCTCGACTCGAAACAATTGCAATGCAGCGCGAGAAATGACAATAAACAGTTCCTATACACCACTCAAGCCAATTAGGTTTAACAGTTTTCAAAATCGTTGAGTTGGTTAGGAAACATATGGAAACACCTTCACAAGTTGCCCGGCTGTCCTCTCTGTCACATCGCCAGTCTGCAGCGAGCAATGGGATGAAACACAACATATACAACGACGAACAAAATTTAAGCAAAGAAACTGTCAGAAAACCAGAGAAACATGGATATGAATAATGATCATATGAAAACATAGTCAATTTCAGTCAATCATACAATCAACCAAACAACAACAAGCGTTTACATCGGTGACTTCAGCATAAAAAAAATGCTTGAACACTCGATATCACTATGCCCTGGCCTTCTCCCCTCTTCTGATATCCAGGATGCACTGGGGGATCTTTACCTTGCGACGGGATCAACGGATCATGGTACCATCCATTCCTTGATAATATAGATGGGTTCTTTTTGAACGTCCTCACTTTGGTTGAGTTTTACGAGTTCAATCCGTTTGATGTGTTTGAAGAGCCCTTTGCTGCATGTAATTCGTTACTTCCAGAAGTTGCTCACCATTGCTCACCATGAAATTTCAGAAGTCTACCTTATCCTTCATCAATAAGTTGTCAATCAGTTTATCATCCCTAGCTGCTATAGCTTTCTACCTATCCCGGATCATCCTGAGGTGGCTGCAGCCAAGAACACAGGGCTCCACTGGCATCCTCAGCTGCTCAGCTGCACAGCTGCCGCGATGAGTTGCTGGGTTCTCCGGTCCTTGGGTGCCCCGGACGTCAAGACCTGATTGAGGATCAGGTTTTCGGCCGGGCAGGAGGCAATACCTTGGGCAAATGCATTCAGGTTTCAGGTTTAATATTAAAATATGTTTTAAGTGATAAGTTTTCCATGACTGTTGGATGATTGTTGGATGAATTTGATTTTTATGTGATGTAGGTAAGTTATGCCAGATACTCCTGATATAGGACATATCGCTCCACCATTCAATTGCCGAAAAGGGGATAAAACATCAAGAACCGATTTCCGGAGTTTGTTCGATAGTTAAGGTTCCCGACTTGGAGCTCCCACAAAGGGTGGCACGCAACGGACCTGCGTCAAATTTTCAGCGGGAAGATTTCTGAACTTCACACATCTTGCCGATACAAAACAATGTCAACATATGACAGACTAACATGTTTCATTTGGGTCTGAGTTTCAACGTCTGATTTTCAAAAAAAAACCATCCAACTTCGACGTGGCTCAACATCACCAGAGCGAATGGCCTCACAGCTTTCTCCAGGAGGAACCTGCTATGTGGGATGTTCCATACACGCCCACTGTCATTTTCATCATTTTCTTTCAAAATACGGAACTTTGATACTTCATTGAATGTCGTATGCGTCCGCATTGCTTTCCTTTCTTGGTACCTTCAAAAACTGAAGTGGGATGGTTGCATAAGAGATCCAAAACACGACAAGGGCTTCAAAATCCCAAGTGGGTAACATGTTTTGTTGTGGTGGGTAAATCATCTGGATCCCATCTAGATGTTCCCATTGTTCGGATCCAGGTCCCACCTCGGAGCAATTGGACATGTCCAGGGGTTCGCAGCGGGCGGTGCCTTTGTCGTGGGGTTGAAGGGTACAGAAAACCCTCCATGACTATAATAACTAGTGGTATAAACTATAGTAATAACACATGATTTCCTGTAATTCTTTTCCTTTTGTGACACCAATCCGGTACATCATGGTGCAAATCGTATAGCGAGCAAAAGTAACACCAACAAGAATGGGAACCCAACAAAATACTTTTGCATCACAAGAATTAGGGGAGATGATCCAACAATTCATGAGTGATTCAGCTGCAGAATATGAGAGGCATTGGGGATAGCCTCAGAAGATAAAACATGACAAAGCAATGAAACTATCAACTAGCTACAGGACTGGATCAATGCAAAACGTTTGCATCTCAGATGTGATAGATTTGATCTGATCCTCTCATCGGATTTGTTTCAGGGAGAAATCAAGGAAATCCTTTGTGAATCTGGAATCTGATAGTAAAAAACATGGTTTTCTTCAAAGTTTCCACGATAGCCGTGTTAAACTCGTCACTGGAAGCTGCTGCCCAGTCACTAATCGGTGGCACACAGGGTTGCAGCGGCAAACAGCCGAAGAGCTCAGGGGCATCCAAGCATTCCCTGGCCATGGTGGCTATGGTGGCCATCAGTAACCTTGCCCACAACATCAAGCACACACCTAGTAGAAACCTTGGAAAAGATTGTCCAAAATAGGAAAGCGAGGCAGAGAAATACGAAATACGCAACTTTTGCAGGGATAGGGATATGAATCGCTATATATGAAGTGTGATATGAAGTATAGTTGGAAAGTATAGTAACTATGACAACTATGATTCTCCCAGAAAGCCTTGCCGTTTCAACATGTTTAGGGCAAATCCGTCAGCGCCACAAAGGCCGCTGGCATCGCTTTGCCGCCTGGTGAAAAATAGCCGGCGATTGGGAAGTCCCCTGGATCAAAGTGGATTATGACAATGACTGACTTATCTTCTGTAGGATTAGATGTGTGACAGTTCTCAGTTGGGATGAAACTGAGGTCGTAGCTGATCCTCCGAATTCTTCATCGCATTGCCAGGTTTCTTCCGGGGCATCTATGACCCTCGTGTACCTGTGCAAGCGCTAAAATTCTTTGTTTTTGTTTTTTGCTTGAGATCAATTCTGTTGAGTTGCTGTGATTGCTCAATGTTACTCTGAATTTCAATCTCAATATTTTCAAAAGAGAGATCCAGTTTCACCACTGGTCCCGGAGGAAAACATGGAAACACATCCCAACATGGCAGCGCACCCTGGTGCTGGTGAAGCTTCTGGACCTCAGAGTACAGCGCCGGGCCAAGGCCAAGGCATCCAAATCGAAAAAACTGTGGGAAAACTGTGTTCGATTGCTGTATATATTGTATCTTCTTGTTCGGGACAGATCTTGACAGCTTAACATGTTTTAACACCCACGTCGGGTCCCCCGGCATTGGCAGATGGGCGGTGTCCAATCCAGCTCCGGTGGGCTGGTGCTGGTCAAATTGGGCCCCAGGGGCACGGTGGCGCGGCAGTTGGCCATGGTGCGTTGCCCCAAGTACGGCGGCATCTGGGACAGGGCAGACAGGATTGCGGCCATGGCCATGGAGAATTGGTGAAACAAAAATGGGGTACCAAAATCCTGGTGAAAATGATTGAAAATGCATAGCACATTTGGTGAACTGGACAACCATCGGCCAAATGTGCTATGCAGAATCTTCCCGGCCCATTTCACGGATGGGTCCCCGGACACAGCTCACGTAGCAGCTGCGGCCCGGCAAAATCCCATCGCAGTCGGTCCAGTTGAAACGACAAGCGTCGATCGGTGGGGCTTGGCCTAGGAACCATGTTGAATCATTGTCAATATAAACTGGTGGAACTGGGTGAACTGGATCAAGCTTCATGAAAACTGAACGAAACCGATCATTATATTATAATATTTAGATTTATTATTTTTGTTGTTACTATTCTTATTGTTAAGGATCAACTGTTTCAGGTTACGATTTCAACTGAAACTAGCTTCCACCGAGGCCGAAACAAACTTCGATGGGATGGCAGCCGCCATAGACACATTCTGCCTCACACTTTCAGAAACAGTTTCTGACCAAAAAATATCCCAAAATTTGAATCTTCCGATGAGAAAAAAACAGTACAATTACGATAATTCCGTCCTTGTTTTCATGTTTTCCGTTGCCAAAAAAAGAAGTTGTAACAAAGATCCGCATCGATGACTCGGTTTCGTATCGTTCCGCGCCTCGCAGGCATCGTTGATGGAACAGTTCACCGAAGCATCTCCTTTGAAGCCGTTGGCACCTCAAGGTCAAGGTCATTAAAGTACCTTAAAATAAGGTACCTTTAAGGCCCCGCAAGTGGGTTATCTTTGGTGATTTTTAGTAAACCATTTGGCCCCACAATTTTTCTTCGGCATCCTAACTTTTCAGAGGAAAACTGATCGTTCTCGTTTTGCATCTTTCATGCATCATGGGAATATTGGTAATAGCATTTAAGCTGATCATCATCATATACCTCTTCAATTCATCAAATGTTCATCATGTTTTGTCAGAACCCATCAGAACCAATCAATTTTGCTGATGAATTTCTGAAAGTTTCACCGTTTCACCGAGGCCACGAACAAATCCATCCCAGGATGCTGTCCTGTCGATTCAGATCTTCTTTGCATCGAAAAATTGTGAATCCACAACATCTACATAAATCATATCATAAACCGACATAATAAATCATCATACATCTAAGGAATCTGTCAACATCAACTAATCGAAATATAGGACATGCAAGGAGTCTGTGAACGATATCTCCAAAAACAAAGTTTCCAAGACATCAAAATCATCCATGATTAAACTTCATTAAACTTGTTTTTTCCATTCAACACCTGGACCTACCTTCCCTACCATCTACCTTCCCTTTAAACATTAAAGGACTGCCGTCCGGTGCCGGTGCCGCTGCCGTCCTTGATGTATCCATCCTGCACCACCAGGCCCTGAGGGCAGTTCGTCAACGCGCACTGTGGACGACTCCACGTCCTGGCTGCCATAAACTTTTGGCCATAGATATTTAAACATCCAGCTATCCTTCAAATATGATATATATATATATTATATATATATATCACTTATGCCATAGAGATTTGACATCATTTTCAGATTTCACATCATTGAATCATGTGTATTCTATGTATGCTTAGATTTAAGCATATTCAAAGTAAACCGAAAAACAACAGGAGAAACATCCAAACTCCACAACCCCGCCATGGTCCGCACAGCGCACAGGTCGGGGGCACAGCACTTCGCTGGTGTTGATGTTGCCCTCTGGGCAGGTGCCATAGGTTGAGGGCCCGGTGTAGGGATCCTGGCTGAATGTGATATGAACTGAAGATTTTTGAAAGAAACATCTGTAAAAATCTGTTACAATCTGAAGATTGGGACGAAGATCTCTAGCTGAATAACACTGATCAGTTGATCAACTTCATGAGAATCTGCGCGCCTTGCATTTGATTTCGCAACTTTCGCCACCTTGCACACTTCGACCTTGCCATCCGCACCATCTGTGCTGTCGCCGCATGCCATGCATCAGATGCTCTGTCTGGGATCCCCGTGCAATCAGAGACATCGATATCACAGCCATCTGCGATGATGGGAAGACATGCCTCAATCGGCACCTGAGCTGGGGGCAAACCACGAGAGACCCAAAACCCAAAGGTTCGAAAGATTGAAACCCAAGAGTCACTGCTGGGAACTGAGTGGAACTGAGTCCAAAGTCCCAAAGTCCCAAACATCAATCTATTGGTTATGTATTGATGGGTGCATCCGCATTCCGCAGCCAAGGCACACAGCCGCTGAGCGTCGGTGTAGATTGACAGTTCCGTCGTGCAGAGCATTGAATTCCAGCAGATCCTCGCGGAAAAAAATGCGGTTGTCCTTTCAGAAAACTTGTTCGTTTCCTCCATGTTTCCTCCGTGTTTGATGGCTTCAACAGAAAAGTAGTGAAAATTCGTTTTGCAAAAATGGATGGCTCACCCCTCAAAGAAAACACCATTTCTTCGGGTAATCCTTCAAACAACTGGTTCCTTTTATGGTTCCCTGGCCTCTAATTTATTCTAATTCCTGCCCCATCTGCGATTCGGCACTGAGGATAACTGACCGGCAAAGTCCACGGAGCAGCGCCATTCTCCCAGAAACTGCGGCGTGTTGAGAAAATCCATCACCAGTGGCGTCACCAGATTTCGAGACACGAAAACATATGAAAACATAATGAAAACCATCTTATCCGGAATCACATATGAAAACCGGAATCAAGACCCTCTGGGAATCAAAGATGGGAGCGGAGGCCGTGTCGGGATATCTGCAAGTCTTTTTTTTCTCGCCAGCTTAGATAACGGCAGAATAGGCAAATGTCTTTTGCTATGTGAGACGCCGGCGTTTGCGATCTCCATCAGTCACAGTATCCACCGTGGCCATAAGGTTCGCGCGGCAGAAATTTGCCAACAGATCTCCACTGGGCAAAACTACTCGAAGACACTGGAGGTTAACCTTCATGGCACGCGCAATGCGCTTGTGGGTTTCCCACAAAAGATCGGACTCTCGCACGTTCAAGCGCAGCACTTCTTTACCCGTCATATTTGAACAGATCAGTGTCAAGGTGTCCGAAATAAAATCCAGTTGCAGAACACGGTCTCCGCCAAGTGGCAAAGAGCACCTGGGGCCAAAAACGTCGATAATCCATGGAGATACAGCACCCGCGATTGTCTAAAAATACGGCACCCCTGAATCCACTGGTTCATCATCATATAGTAGAATCATATCATATTCCGGGAACAAATGCCAAACTTTTCGGGGATGGAGAATCAACGAAAACTTGAAACGGCTATCCAACTTGTGTGGTTATGATACTCATAGTGCACTAGTGAGCAATAGCTTAGCAGCTGCTAAAGCCACCAAACATACCAACATTACCAACCAGGCACATGTAGTAGACACCTGGCTCAGGTTCGGGCAATGGAATTGGTCCCAAGGATCCACAAACCACAGCACCACCATCACTGCGGAGAAGCACAGCGACATTTTCACCTGCTGAAACTTGGGAGTACGTGACTCCAGAATCCAAAGTTGGAATGTCGCATTGAAGCTCACGATATCCGCAAGTCACAACCAATCCATCACTTCGAAGAAGAAAGCTTTTGTACTTGCCTGCAGACACCTGGGTGTACGTCATGCCCTCATCTAAACGGGGGAGGTCCAGTAATCCATGAGCATTTGGTCCGCAAGCAACTGCTTTTCCATCGCTTCGTAGGAGCAACGTATGCTCACCGCCCGCAGAAACTTGGGTGTATGATGTTCCCTCCTCCAGAGGCGGTATATCACATTGTCCAGACATATTATTTCCGCAAGTTGCAACCCTCCCATCACTTTGGTGAAGGACTGTATGTCTAGAACCTGCAGAAACTTGAACGTATGAGATCCCTTTCTTTAATTTCGGAATGTTGCATTGTCCATCATCATTTCGACCGCATGCGACGGCACTGCCATCGTTCCGAAGAAGGACGGTATGCTCGGCGGCCGAAACTTGGGTGTATTCAATTCCATCCTCCAAAGGTGGAATGTTAGACTGTTCAAATCCATATCGTCCAAAAGCCACAGCAAGGCCATCATTTCGCAGAAGAACTGTATGGAAACAACCTGCAGCCACCTGGGTGTATATCTTTCCATCCTTCAATACTGGAACGTCACATTCTCCGTAAAAATTTCGCCCGAAAGCCTCAACACGGCCATCACTTCGCAGAAGCACGGCATGATTATACCCTGCAGAAACCATTTTGGAAGGATTGTTTGCGCCAAGTCTCAACAAGAACTCAATCCTTGATTGATTGCCTTCAATATCTTCAATGCATATTTCATAGTGTTATCACATGGCAATATCCCGACTCTGCAAATATGTTCATTGTTCTATGTTGCTCGCCAATCCGCCGTCTTAACACATCCAAAAACTATGTGCCAACAACGTGACTTATCAAAAATACGAGTTTGAAATATATTGAAAGAGTCATAAATCCGACCGCCGAGCCGAACAGTCACGTCTTCTGGAAGAACCTGAAACTATCATTTTTCGATTCGGATGTTGCTGTCAACCAAACCATTTCCTGGTTTGTCCGAAATCGGGATGCACGAGAAATATGGACAACAATGGCAGTTGTTTGTAGCTTTTGACTATGGACAATGCTGAGAAAACATGAGTTGTTTTTTTTCATGTTCAATCACCAGATTTCACAACTTGTGAGTTGCTTCTTTCATGAGATGGTTCTAAATTTTCATTTACCCTCTGGTAATCAAACATGGCTGGAAAATTCCCCATTTACTTCGATGATCTTCAAAGAAATCCCTGTGGTTGATGATCGGTTGATGGTTGAATCCCATTAAATCAGAGATTTCCCAACTGCGGGGTAGATTTACTGTGGTTGATGAATCCCATCCAACCAGTGGTTACTTCAATCCTGAGGGGATGATGTCACCAACTGCGAATCTGGATAAAACCATTGGCAATTGGTACTTGATAGAATCATTGTCATCATATGTTCTGTCATGTTCTTACATGTTCTTACAATGAAAAAACGAAGATATGGCGGTTTCTGGAGAGGAAATAGTGATTGATGCTATTTCAGGAACTGCCGATTTCCACACAAGGGATCATTAGGGATCATCAGCATGGCCTTGTCATAGCCTTCTGACACATCATCAGGTTCTCCACATGCCTGCGCCAACATCATGAGGACCGTTGATGACAGCTGATGATATGTAAATTTAGTAAATATAGACATAAGCCAAACATAGACAAACAATGCATATATCTAAATGTTTATATGATAGAAATGATATCCAATATTTACTGTAACGGTCGCAACTCTGTGATAACAAACCTATCGACAATTCAACCAATGTATTCATCTATAATCAAAATGATACCCATCTAAACATGAATATTGACATGTATTGACATAATATGAAAACACAACTATCATGTGGGTGTGTTTCATATATCGACAGATCATCGCCTCCCCAGCTTGGCATGGCGAAAAGTCACGCTGCGATGGTGCCTGTGCGACGAACACGTATCAAAATGTCACATATCATCAGCTCATGAAGAATTGGAAACTGGTAAATTCAATTGCCATTAAACCTCCTAAGGACGAAGAAAAATGTCACATGCTTAACTTCATATTTTCTGTTGGTTTCCCATGGTCTACCCATTGTATCCCCATGGGCAACGATAGTGAACCATCCACCTCTATGAGCTGAGCCAAAGAGATGGCGATTTCTGTGGCGTTGGTGCAACCTGAGATGGTGGCGGCATAGCATGGTGGAAATATCTGACTAAAATCTGACGTGTAACAAACGTGAACGCCGTGAACGCATTTTCAAGCAAATATCTAACTGAATTTGTTGGATATGATCTATTGTCAAAACATGGACTTGCACAAACGAGAAAACACGAGCCATGCCAACTTTCTTAGCTCAAAGTCATCAGGTCAGCAGAAAATTGGGTTCCGGGCCACTCAAAGTCAAGACATGCTCACACGGTTGCGTCTCACCTTACACAGTGAAACCCGGTGTGGCCCGGGAAGCTCAAAAGAGACGCATCATGACACAGCTTGCGACTTGAGCCCCACACGGCATTGCATGATCGCCTGTCCCACCTATGTGCAATCTGTGCCATCGGAGCTTTCAACGCCAACGGCATCGCTTGCTCACCCCAGTCATCCCTGTACAGCCTATACCATCATATCATGTTTCAAACATGTAGTATCCCATCTGTACTTGGTTGTACCTTCATACATCTTGATATCAACATATATCAACCCATTCCGTCCATAAATCGGTGTGATATCTGGCGTCCCATCTCGGTTTCATCTGAGGCTTCCAACGAATCCTTCGGTGCAGGTGAAGATTTCGCCCACGCGCTGGTAGCCCACCGGAATGGGATCCGGATCAGGACAGCCCTGGCAGTTGGGATGTCGGAAGAACAGGAACAAAATGGAACAAACAGCAACATCCAATAGTTGAGCTGATCAACACTAGCAATATTATGCAATATTCAGTTTCACAATTTTGCTAAACATTCAACATGCACTTGAAGAAGTGATTAGCTTGGACGGTTGGATGAGTTCGAAAGGATATGCCTATGCCAAGGACAGTAGGAACGTGTCCCAAATTACCGGTACCACATGGCCTCCAAATCGCAGTACGGCAGTGTCAGAAGCAGCTCCTAGAAATCAACCAACTCACCATCCGCTGGTTCTTCATCGCATTCCCAAGCGGTCAACATTGGTCAAACCCGTCCTCCGGTGGGCTGCTTGGGCCGCCTGGGCGACCCTCGCTGCTGTGGACTGGGGCACAGACCGCCCGGGACGGGGTCCCAGCGAAGGGGGCGGCGCACTTCACCTGCAAAGTGATGGACATACCTGACATACCTGACATACCTTTGGTTGAAACATGTTGAAACATGTTGAAACCAGTCAAAGACCAAAAGTGTGGATGATTGATATTGATTGATATCGATTATCCATTGTATGGAAAGTTGATCGAGCCACCTATCAAACCAAGGTTTGCCGAGCCGGGTAAACTGAACGCACTGAGGGCACGGCTTCACAGTACTCACCCGGAGTGATGGCACTGCAGTTGGACACGTCATACCTTTGCCAGGCGCTGCACCGATAATGCACCTGTTTTCTGTTCAACTTTGATCTACTCTCCATCTTCCAACAGGAAACAATCATCCTTTTTCTTCTTTTTCCCCAATCTTGACCCACAACCATCGCAGGCTTCATGATGTATCATGAATTCACCCTATCAGGTTTTCATGATGTACCAAGCCTGGTTTTCAAGTGTTTCCCATCCCCGTTGCCGCCTGCAGCCCAGCGCTGGGAGGCTGCAGGGCGTGCGGATGGGCGTGCAGCCGCTGAGCCAACTGTAGACCGCACAGCTGCCGTCGTGCGAACAGAGCTTCTGCGCTGAGCCCTCGAAACCATCAGCGCAGAACCAGCCTTGATGGGGATTGGGATTTGGGATGGGGGTTGAGGTATGGACAGGAAATCATTGGGCAGTTGGAAATTGAACTGGCTCAACCATTATGGTTGATATTCATTATATAAAGATACATTCCATCTCTGTATGAATCTAAGGCTTCTGAGGATAATGTGGGATCCGTTTCCGTGCGGCATTTGATGTTGGGATGGAGAGATGGGTTTCTCATTGGTGAAAGTGGAGTCGTAGATTGAAACCACTTAGCATAACTCCATAATAACCTCCATAAGCATAGCAGAAGTTTTAAGCTCACCAGAAAGAAACTCTGTGGCTGTCATGATTACCCTCAGTATTTCTATTTCGATGGCGTGGTCGCAGTTCGTCGCAGTCGCAACGCCCTTTTTGCTTTTCTCTTTTGGGCAGCTCCGCCAGATCTCCCGCAGCAGATTCAGGTGAGCACCGAAGAAGATCCAGCTGGCCTTGAAGGTCGACATAAGTTGATGAGTGGATGATGCTACGGATGATGGCATCATGATGCTACTGTAACAATGATAAACTGGATGTTGGAAATGCTTGGGAACTCAACCAAATATGGTCAAATTGGTCATGACAACACAACTGAAACATAGTGAAAGATTGGCAACATATGTTCAATGTTGTCCAAGGCCAAGTGATGTCAAGCTCCAGAAACCATTGGCTAACGATCTGAATTGACAGCTTGGTGACCTCTGGGTTTCTGGCCATCCAAACAACTGGTCGCAAGGGGAAGCCTTTGAATTCCAGCAGATAGGCCCACAACAGCCAATGCACCTGCATAGCAACTCAATGTGCACTCGGTACGATTGGCATGTGGCATTTTGAAAAAATGGTACAACAGTACAACCATTCTTTTGAGTAGGTCAAAACCCTGTGTTATGTATTTTTCTTGAATAACGACATAGAAACACTGAAACCATCACCATGTCGATAAATCGAAGGGGTTGTTCACCATCTCTTAGATCGGCAAATCGAAGCGCCTCTGCACCCATCCAAATCAGCAGAGAACGCCTCGCAGCCCGGGCTTCCATGGGATGATGACAAGATATCCCATTTTCAAACATACATATCACCACAAAAATCCACATATCACATCAGCACACCATTTGTTCAAGAGACATCTTTAATGCACAAAAATCACAATAAATGGGAGGTTTGAACTTTCTCCCATCCATGGTTCGTTTTTTCATATTGCCGTCATGAAGCCATCGATGTCACCAAGTTACAAGATGCTGCTGGTAGCAGGCGCAGCTGGCAGCAGGCAGAGCCACCAAACAAAGTACTGCGCCTGATGGTTGGAGGATGTTGATTGACAATGTATTTTCTTGATCTCCCACATAATGTACACCAAATGGCCTGAAATATGTCTACTTCATGAATTTTGTGGTACATCTTGTTGCTTTATTTTTACGTTTAAAATGGCTAACACCATATTTAGATGAAATATGTGGGACATGAAAGGCATCATATCAGCATCTGTAGAAAACATATACATGTTCTACTCTACGTCATATGTGGCAAAAAATCAAGGCAGTATCTCTGTCATCATGTCCACATTGTCATCAAACATATGCATTTCATGACATAAATTCATGAGTTATATGATGATAAATGATGATTTACGCCACATAAATGGAGGTAACATGAGGTAACCATTTTTGTTTTGTTACATGAAAATTTCATGTAAAACACAGTTTAAATGTTCACTTCGTTCACTTCCCTGGTGTATCCCTGGTGGATCGGTGGATCCCTGGTGGATCCCCACCGTCAGCACTTTGTTCGTGGCCACGAAGGCGATGGTCTGCAGGAGGAAGGCCACGGGCAACGTGGCACCGGTGGAACTGAAGGACCAAAGTCCCAAAGATGTGGACCTCGCAGAAATGGTGCATGGTTGGTGAATGGTTGGTGAATACTGGTGAATGGTGGATGTGATTAATGGCCATGTCAAACACTGCTTTTAGTCTTGGGTTTTCTATCTTTGCAATCCAAGGGGCAGAATCAGCTGCGGGATCGCTGCAAAGGCAGAGAGATCCACCGGAACTTTGCCGTCCAAATAGAGTCCCACCAGGTAGAAGTAGACCTTGGGATTGGTGGCAAGGCATGAAAGGCATGAAAGGCTTGGCTTCGCATCAAACAAGCCCTAAATCCATCTGGTTTCACCAAACCACCAACGAACGATAAGTGATGCTTCACGTGGGGCTTTACTTGGGCGCTCTCAGTTTTTGGAAAGATCTCCTCTGAAGTCTCCGCAGCAGTTTTGCAGAATCCGTTGAGACACCAATCCAAAAAATCCAAGAGACAGAGAAATTGTGTTGAGGATCTTTCCGCTTACCTGGAACACTGCAAAACAGAAGCAAACATAAAAGGAAATGAAGTGGAAATGGAGCGGAGAGAACATGCCAATGCTACTTGAAGATCCCTTTCTTAGACAATTTCAGTTTAAAGAACCTTCATCAAATCCTATTCATATGTTCCCATCAAAAAAGGGAAGAGCGAACAATTCGCTGCGAACAATTCGCTGGGCGGCCGTGGTGGAGGTAGGCGCATTCCAGAAATTCCATGCCGTAGAAACTGTAGCACAGGGCTGCCAAAGCTGCGAAAACGGTGAAGGATAAAGCACCAAATCCTGGTTGGGGCGAGGCTATTTTGGAGAGACGCTCCAATCTCCAATTTCTGACATTCTTTTCAAACTATGTTGCATTGCGAATAAACCACGATACATGATCTAGATTTCCGTCAAACATATCCAACAAGTGGCTACATCCCATTGACATTCCCATTTCCACAATTTTTATGGGTCATATATCCATACATATCCAATATATATCCCCATTATGGGTACATCATGGCTCCCCTCCTATGAAGCGTTGCCAGGAGAGGTGGAGGGCTATCACTGGGATGTAGATGACCTTGGAACGTGGAACCCTTGGAACTCTTTCGAATGGTGTCCAATCGAACAATCACGGGAAATGTCACTTCTCAAATGGGAAACCATGTTCCGTAAGGTTAGTTTTATGATATTTTATGTTTTCACATGAGAATATTGTGATGTTTGTCATTCAAAATTGGATATGTCCCTATTGCCATGCTGGATATTTACCTAAGCCTAGACCATGTTTGGCAATATGTACCTCAAAACTGAATGTCCAAATGATGGTAGTGACACGCCCACGGGTGGGCTGATCTTCGATTCCGATGGATAACAACCAAACCAAAATGGCGCATTTTGCAGGCCCCTTTCAGTCTTCCACTTCCTATCCCTGAATGTCATGCAGGTACCTTCCTGTTCTCAGATCTTTCATGGAAGTCGTGTCACACACCGATCTGCCCCAAGGCACTGGGTAAATCCGCCAGTGTACCGCAAGTCCAAAGATCACAGCAGCCATCCGCCAATTCCTCAGCTTAATTTCAAAATCCATGTGATTTTTCAATATTCATCATCATCATCATCATCATCAACATCAAATGATTATCATCATGATCATGATGTTCATATCGAAATCACTTCTGGAACTCTGAAATCACCCCAGCTGTGGCCATTTGGCGCCGTTTCACCGATGGGCCAGGGATCTGTTTCTGTAGGAAGTAGATCATCCCATGGATCAACAGTGCCACCAGGGACTCGCCACCTCGGAAATAGATCCAAAAAAAACTGGAGAGAAATCCCAGTTATCCAGTGTTCCATCAAGTACAAATTACCAAATTACTATGAGAATGACAGATCTTCCAGGAATTGTAACTTAAACGAATGATAAGCAATGAAACAAACCTCAACATGCCACATGATTGCGATATGATTAGTAACTGCCACGCGTGGAGATCGTGAAGCAAAAAGGATTGAAGAGCCACAGCGCCAACCTGCACGGCAAAGAATGTTGGATATGGTTGGATTAGTTTATTAGATTATTAGATTATACTTAGATTAGATTTATAATGATTTATAGATTTAAAACATGATGAAAACAGTTTTTGATTTATTTGAACATGTTGATCTTCCGACATTGGGCAGTGCTGACACTGTGCGTCAAAGGCCCATGTGATTTGTGATACGAGACTCAGATGTTGATATGAAAACATATGAAAACGTCATTCGGGATGTTAGGATGTTAGGATATAAAACATCACGAATACGTCCTCCATCCGAATCCAGACACCTGAGAGAGCCACACTGATTTTGCAGCAGCAGACATCCTACTGCCAGATCCAAGGCGGAAAAGAGAAGCTTTCCTCGGAGAAAACCAAAGAAATCCACGACAAACTCGACCAAACATGGAACAGATATGGGAAAAATAACAGAACCAAGATGACTGATTTACACCGACGTACCACAACCTAGCAGACCTAGCAATAGGACACATATCAGGACACATTTCTACCAAGCTTCCCCAAGCCTTATGGATCCATACGTTCCTCAGCTGTGCTGGCGACCAAGGTATCATCTAACCTTCAGAGTGAGAGGTGTCAAAATAATCGGGACAAACAATCTGAAAAGAAACAACTTCTATACACACTAAACTATACATATGATATATCAATCTTTACGGTATCATGTATATATATATATTATATTATATTATATTATATACATATATTCAGTTATATTCATATCAATACATGTGAGATTATATGTGCATTATTTACTCCACCAACCAGCTGATAGTGACATCAGTTGCTGCTGTAAATTCATCCGGAGCTCGGCAGCAGCAGCAGCGCCAGCAACGGCGTAAAGCGATATCTGGTGGCGTCCGCAGCCAACAGCTGGGTACGACCCTGGTAGGGACTCAGCCCCAATGACACCGACCTTGGTGAATGGTTGGATAAACGTTTGGATTAATGTTAGGTGGTGCCAATACATGTAAAACGATGGTAAAAACTACAGACAAGGAATTTGTTTACAAAAATTGGACAGAACATCGATTTAAGCGGAACCCCCAGGGAGAGTTTGAAACAGTTTCGCACAACAAAAATGCATTAATTACATTACCATTCCAAAGATATCTAAACGACATGACACCTTGTGTGACCCTGAGAGCCCGGCTCCGCGGCATCAGTAAAGACCTGATAGTCGATGTCGGTGTAAGCCACTTCTGCCAGATGATCCTGCACCTCACAACTTGAATTGGTGCTGCAAAAATACTGAAAAATTATGATTGTGGTGGATTTTTTTTCCGGTTCAGCTGGTTGATGTTTTTCACATTTTTTCACATCCGATGTTCCCATGATCCGTTACCAAACCTCGGCCACGAGGATCAAGGCGAGCCGTAGCGCCGCAGCCAGGAGCCTGGAGCTGGGAAGCATTTTCAAGAGATCAATGTGCTTTGAAAACCCGAAACAGGTCTGAAACATGATTTGCCACTTTCCTATATATATATACACATATATATTCATATATGTATATTATAAAACCTATCTATCTATCTATCTATCAACCAATTTATCATTTAACATATTTGGATACTATTTTGAGGTTCCATGATCTTCAATGACCTTCCATGATGACCTCACGACCTCACAGCCAAGTCGCAAGAGTTTCCTGGGGGAGCATCGATCCAAACTGGACCAGTCCATCGAGAAACTTTGAGCTGAAACTGCTGGGCTGGGCATCGAAAGTTCCAAAAAAACAACAAGACATCATCATTCCATTGATCATAAGTGGACTAAACAGGTCAACATCAAATCTACAATGACTGTGTTATCAGTGTTATCATTGCTTGTTATTGGTTGTTCTTTGGATTTCTATGCTGCAGCAGTGCCGTGACCGCCGTCACTGGGCCGTGGACCGCTGGTGTTCCACAGGTAGCCGGGCATCACAGCTGGGTCGGGACAAAAGTCCAAGCGACAGCTGGGTTCGGTGTACCTGCGCCGTGGTAAAACAAGGTAAAAACCGAGTTTTCTACTTCAGATATGGCTTGACTAAACCTGAAAATCCACTTGTTTCAAATGTTTCAAGTACTTGAAACAAAACATAAGTTACACAAGTTTGTCATGTTAACATCATGCAATCCATTTACGAAATGTCTAAAGGTCACTGGAGACCAAACTGTCCACCCGGATTCTCGCAGAAGGCTGTGGTGGAGGCGCCTCAGGGATGCTCATGGCCATGGTGACCCATCAGTGGTGATATCATGGCAATGAAGAATACCATGGCTGGTGCATATACATCATATTAGATAAGAATATATGATATCAGGGAAATATCGCCAACATTACAGGATTTAATGGGATCTCATGGTGATTCTAAGATAACAACTCCAAAATTTTCCAAAATGGTAGGTGACTTTAAATAGGAAACATGGAGAAGTCTGATGATATCCTCATCCGAAAAACCGGATCTGAGTGGTGATGCCAATGAATCCCGCAGCGCAGGAGATGACACACTGCCTCAGCATTTGTCAAGCGTGTCAAACATGGAATTCCCAAGTTGAAATATGGAATACACTGGAATTCTCAGATCTCAGACTTATATTCCATCAGTTACCATCAGTTATATTCATACTCCATCAGTTGCGTTATGAACATGTAGATTTTTATATACCATCATCTACCGATCATCTGAAGCCCCAGGCCGGGCGATCTCCACGCCATCGCAACTGCTGGCGTCCTCACGGTCAGACGGCATATGGGTTTGGATTTTAGATACTTTGGAACATCCTTCTGAATCCTTTGTTGTACAAAAAATGAAGTTCCAATCTGAAAACTAATGATAAACTAGTGACTTCAATGCTGTCATACTCCATTTTTCATAACATGTGACATGGTGAACCGCTGAAGCGCCATTGGGCATCCCAACAAACATGCAGTGGTCCAAGAGGGGTGCGACACACCTTGGGAAATCAACAGGAATCCATAGGTATCCATTCCAAATAACAAGTTTGGAAGTGTCTGAAAGTTGGTTGGGAAAATTTGGGAAATTTCTGAAAAACTGAAAGTTGATAAAGTTGGAGGTTCCCCAAGGTGAAGTTTCCCAAGTTTTTGGAAGTTTCTGGATGCAGCTGTGTCCGATGAGTTTCTGGCGGACCCGATTTCTGGCAGCCGATGACCATGGGCTCCGCAAGGCAAAACCCAGGCTGACGGGGCGAGACTTCGATCAAAACACAATCAGAGAAGCCTCCAAAAACGGAGGGCGAAATTCTGCAAATTCTGATCCCCAAAATCTGAAAGATGCAAAGACAGTAACCATGATGTAAAAACAGTAACCGTTTTGAAACCTCTCAAGATGGTCGGCTGATGCGCTTCGCCTGACTGCATACGACCTCTGCTTCTCCCGTGTAGCTGTTGTTGGTGTCACAGAACCTGAGAAATGGGGTTGCCAGCAGGTTGCATGTACTTGACCACCTCAACCCAGCACTAACATAAAAAAGTTGACCTACACTGGAGATATCATGGCTTCATGGCTTCATTTCTTCAGTTTACTCACCATTTCTGGTTGAAACATCGCGCTGAGGGCTTCGCCAGCCGGAAGCGTTTTGGAAGTAGCCTTCCGGCACCGTCCGCGGGTTGGGACAGAAACACTCCGAGGCTACCCATTCGAAGGCCTGGCTGCGAGAACTTTTGGAGAATGCCTTGGAATGGAGGTTATTCATGTGATTTACCTTGAAACCAACTGGTAACATCTGGTAACCCGAATCATTTTCAGTACTGGTAACTGGGGTTATCATGCGCTTCAGTCACAGGCTGAGCGTCTGGCGCCCTGCCAATCAATGTTGTTACCTGAGCTGCTCTGTTCAGCTCCCAAAAACTCGGCACCCAATGGGCACCCAGTATCTGTTGAGTTGGTGGATGACCATCACCAACTGAAGATGCTGGATGACAGGGACATTTACCCTCTGGTAAACTAACATAACTATGGAAAATCACCATGTTTAATGGATAAATCAACTATAACTGGCAATTTTCAATAGCTATGTTTGATTACCCATTGATGATTCAGCTGGATGATGAATCTGAGCGGCTGCTACATCTGGCCACCGAAGGCGGTCCCACATAGGGCGCCTTGCGGTCACATCTGGGGCTGTGGCATGTCAACTGGAAAATCCATCAAAAATGCACAGAAAAATGGCCTGAAAGATATGAAATTGGGAGATGCAAACTGTACAACCAACCAACAACCAGTCCAACCATTCCAACCATCACCAAAGGTAAAAACCGGTTGCTGATTGTCACACATTTTTCCCACCTTGCAAGTGACTTGACATTCTTGTCCCGGCCTAAGGGCGCTGATGTCACTTGAATGGCAGCTTGATATCACGTTTCTATCATTTTAGACATTTTTGGACCAGTTCGTATCATCGTTATACGGATTTTCTACAGCATTCTATGCATGTTTGTACACTTTGAATCAGTTTTATCAGCTGCGTTCTGTGAAGATTCCGAATGGAGCCATCTGAAGGCGTTTATGCCGCCAAGGAACTTGAAATCATAGGGGCACTGAGAGGTGTTGTAGGCACCTTGGGATGAGACTGTCATGGACAGAATCCACATTTCATCACATCCGACACTATCCATTTATAGCTGATGTTTGCTCCACAACAAGGTCAACATGAGGAAATTTTCCCCCAAAAAAGGAACTGCTAGGTCCCAAGTCTTTGGCAATCGTCAAAGCGCACAGGACGACAGGACTCCAATGGAAAGCAGCCTGAACCGCGGACAACATGCAGATCGAACCCGTTGCACTCCAAGATCGAACTCACGTTTCGTTTAGTTGCAAAAACACCTCAACATTATCATTAACAATATTACAGATATTGCATGTATAGGACTAAGATCATACTGATGGATCCATATCAGAAATTACAGATATTACTGTGGATCCACATGGATCAAACCACGCCTGTGAGTTTGGGCGTCGAGTCGCAGTTAGCCCAAGGTCCACAATGCACAGTGGGAGACACCTCAGATTTCTAAAACCCGAAACAGTGGGATTTTGGGTGAAACAATGTGAAAACGTTGGTTTTGGAAGGGTGAAACAATGTGAAACATCGAGAACATCTATCATTGGTGGGTGTTTCTTGGGAAACCATTGATTTCCGTTTCTTGGTAGTTAATATGAATTACCAGTAGTACCGCACAAGGCGGTGGCGGAAGTTTCAAAAATAGGAAACCTATAGGAGAGATTGGTTGTTGTGAATCAGGGATGGCAGAGCGAATCCACTGATGGACCGAAAGGTGCTTGAGGTCTCCTCTCTTTCTCTCTCTTTCTCTGACCATCTACCCACCTACCAACCTATCTTCTATGTATCTACCTGTCTATCGATCTATCTATCTCTCTCTCTCTCTCATCTAATTACCTATCTATCTATCTATCTACCTACCTACCTACCTATCTATCTATCTGCCGACCTGTCTATCCATCTGTGGTGCAGTGTCATTCAGTGTAATGTAGTGTAGTGTAATGTGTAGTGGAGTGTACTGGAATGTAGTGTAGTGTAATGTAGTGTAGTGTAGTGTGATTTAGTGTAGTGGATTGTAGTGGAGTGTAGTTGTGTATTCGTAGTTGTAGTTGTAGTGTAGTGGAGTGTAGTGTGATGTAGTGAAGTGTAGTGGAAGGTAGCGTAGTGTAGTGTAATGTAGTGTAGTGTAGTGTGATTTAGTGTAGTGGAGTGTAGTGGAGCGTAGTGGAATGTAGTTGTGTAGTTGTAGTTGTAGTGTTGTGTAATGTAGTGTAGTGCAGTGCAGTGCAGTGTAGTGTAATGTAATGTAGTGTAGTGTAGTGGAGCGTAGTGTAGTGTAATGTAGTGTAGTGTGATTTAGTGTAGTGGAGTGTAGTGGAGTGTAGTGGAATGTAGTTGTGTAGTTGTAGTTGTAGTGTAGTGCAGTAGTGTAGTGTAATGTAGTGAAATGTAGTGTGTAGTGAAGCGAAGCGACATCTGAACCTCAAAAGTGGTCTGAAACCCTGGTGTTTTGCACATTTTGACTTCGAAATGTGCTTCGCGCCACAACGGCGTGCACTTTTTCCACATCGGAACTTCCAAAAGTGGCGCGAACATGTGGTGTTTTGTACATTTTGACTTCGAAATGTGCTTCGCGCCACAACGGCGTGCACTTTTTCGACATCTCAACTTCCAAAAGTGGTCCGAGAATGGTGTGTTTTCTACATTTTGACTTGCAAATGTGGTTCGCGCCACAACGGCGGGCACTTTTTCGACATCGGAACTTCCAAAAGTGGTCCGCCTCAGTTTTTACATTTTGACTTGGAAATGTGCTTCGCGCCACAACGGCGTGCACTTTTTCGACATCTCAACTTCCAAAAGTGGTCCGACCTGGTGTGTTTTGTACATTTTGACTTTGTACATTTTGACTTCGAAATGTGCTTCGCGCCACAACGGCGTGCACTTTTTCGACATCTCAACTTCCAAAAGTGGTCCGACAATGGTGTGCTTTGTACATTTTGACTTGGAAATGTGCTTCGCGCCACAACGGCGTGCACTTTTTCGACATCTCAACTTCCAAAAGTGGTCCGAGAATGGTGTGTTTTGTACATTTTGATTCATTTTGACTTGAAATGTGCTTCGCGCCACAACGGCGTGCAATTTTTCATCTCTCATCTGGCCAGCTGGCTCCGCACCCGCCGCTTTAGCGAGCCGACTTTTCGACCCTCCGGAACCTCAAATCATTCGGAAAACACAGTGTTTCGCGACTTTCCTACCTTTTCGCGCATCTGCACCTTATTTCTTCTGACTCTTTCTCTTCTCTGATCTTCTCTCCTCTAATCTTTCTCTTCTCTCTGCCTCAGCCCTGCTCTGCTTTTCATCTGTCCATATTGTCGGAAGTTTGACTTCTAAACTTCCTTCGAATATGCCCCAAACATTGGTCTTTAGCCGTCAAGTTACATGGGAGTTTACTCAACAAATTGATCATTGACATCAACAAGAGTTGGGACTTCCCAAACAATATGGGTGCCATTGAACTATAGAGAACACACATCAGGGTTTTCCAAAGCTTGACATCCGAGACACCTCTACCGCTCCCACATAACCAGCGGCACAATGGAATCCATCGGATCTCTTTTCATAACCTGGCAGTGTAAATGAATGGTAAATGAATGGTAAATGCACCACATCAAAGATATCTAAAACTCAAGAAACATCTGAAAAATCAATGACTGCAACTGCATTGATGATCTTCGAAACTGGACGTCGATCTGAGCTTCAATACCCACCGGCAAGGGCAGTGGATCTTTGCAATCCTCCCAATCCAAGTCACACCTGGCGAGCAGTCACATGGGTCAACACATGGGATATCACATCCTTCGGGATGGAACATCACCACAGTAGCGACTGTGACGTCACCTGCCAATCTCCCACTCAATGGGCTGCAAAGGGTCGATGTTTCCAAGTCGACCTCAGTGGATCGGATGCATCGGATGCGCTGTCAGTGACATTCATGTAGATTATCAGTGGTTAGTTAGTATGGGATATCAGGATGTCCAACTTTATCACATATTATCATTCTTATCATCATATATCATCTGGTATCAAACTATTACATAAATCCGACACATTCTAACACTGGACATTAGTCACATTCATCTAACACACAATAGTTTCGTTTGTAGATCACAACCAGCAGGCTGAGTTCTGGACATGTGGCGTTCTGCACCTGGTCCTGTTTGTAGGGCGGCACGCAATAGATGCTGCAGGTCTCACCAGGCATCACCTGGGATTCTCCAATGACAAGCTCCAAAAGGGGAGGATCATGTAAGTCTCATCCAAGTTTTGGTTTATCATGGGGGTTAAGAAGAATTTATCAACATATCACTGCAATTATTAGATTAAATATGATTAAATCAATTATTGGGTATTTTGATGTATTTTTGGGCATTTATGATTGGGTTGACCACCCAATGTGATGACATCCAGTATCATCCAACTGCGGCGCATCCAAGTAGCGTTCACGCAGTCGGAGAGGTCGAACATGCCTGAGGCATCGAATCATCTATGGAGGTTTATTGCTAGGAAAATCATCTATGGAATATGTTCAAAACCAGGGGATCCCTACATCCATCGGTTCATCATGGTTCCTTCCAAAGTTGCAATTTTTGAGACAAACCCATATGTGAACTATAGATACCGGGTGATATCGATTCACGATTCTACCGAAGATGTTGGCTGTGATGCTACCACAATCCACGTTTTTCTAACTGAAAAAAAAACGATTTTGTGGAGTAATTTCTGAACATTGCTGAACGTGTTTCGAACTTGGAACACTCATCATGATTGGTTGGTTTTCTGACATTTTTTTGAGCCAAGGAGCAGGTATCCACGTCCGGAATGATGCATGGCTTCAGTGGGAAGCATCCCAAAAACCTCAGAAATTTCCATGGTTTTCCGGTGAGTTCAGCTACAGAAACAGCGACAGAATCAGCTAAAATCAGCAACCAAGGGGCTCTGGTTCATCCAAACATGTGTCCGGGCGTTCGCAACCTGGGCGTCACAACTCAGAACTCAGCTTTCCGATGCCTTGAACCACCTTCAACTCATCTGATTCTTCGAAATCAACGGGAACCAAGCAATGAACCAAAAAGAAACATCCCATTTATGTGGTTCATTGCTTGGTTCCCGTTGATTTAAACGTGTTTAAGATTTAAAACTTCATCAGCAAACATCAGCAAACATCCCCAAGATCTTCCAAAACGGACCAAGTTTCCAGGCGCTTCACGGCCGTTCCTGCAAAACCTGGGCCACACACCTCGGTTCTCCAACCGCCGTTGCTGGTTTTTATCAATTTTTTGGGAGCAAATAATGGGACTAACAATGGGATTGATAATGGTGGTTGTTTCTGGGCAGTTTCACAAACTAATAATACTTTGATATTGGTGAATCATGGGGATTAATCATGGGTTACTGATGAATGGTCAATAATGGGTAGTAAGTATAATTCAGAACGACTAATTCATAATGATGGGATGTTTAATAGCACATAATAGCACAAATCCAGCAAACATCTCTTCTTCCGACACCAAAATAAACCCTTTGCCGTCGAAATTGAGCAAAATAAACACAGCTAAGGCAACAGACCCAATCGCCCTCTGTGTTCTGCATGTAGCCCGCTGGAACGAACTCCGGCGCAGGGGCTGGACCTTGGTTGAAGCTAAGCTCTGCGTAGACCCCCCGACCCCTTCGGGTAAACATCGTCATCGTCCAAGTTTTTAAGGCAATGAAACATCTTTGAAAGCACCCGGGAAATGTTTGAATGACATAGATTTTGTAGGCATTATTCATCTGTATGCGACCATGTCATGGCCATGCATCGCCACTACCATAAATGCGGCTGATTCGCCACCCCTCCCTGACCCAAAATGCAGCCTCACGCGCAGCCTGCTGAGGCACCCCACAGTCACAATCCAAGAAGGAGCCAACGGGCAAAATCACTTCCTGCTTCAAATCACATCCAGAAAGTGACAAAAGATAACAAAAGTGACAAGTTTCCAATAATTTCCTTCAGATTTTCGGCGGTTCAGAACTTGAGTTCTTGGAAGTTTATGAACACCATTCTTCACCGAGTTCACTGATCAACTCATCTTTCAATCAGTACACCATATCTGCCTGTGTGGGATCTGTGTTGTCGCCGGGGCAGGCGGCGAACACCTCATGGGCAACATGTCGATGGTGGGGTACTGTGGCAAAACTATGCAAAATGCCTCATAAAATGGGGGATTACATGGACATATTACATAGTAAGCTTTGAAAACAATCGAATCACACAATTGCACGGAAACAGCATTGACTACCTTTCGACGCATCAGTTTGTAATATCGGTTAGGCATCATCAACGTTCCGTATAGTATATTCGTTGACTTTGGAAAACGGGCTGCAAGGGTTTGGTCTGGATGTTGAAAAGAAAGCATTAGGAATCATTAGGATATGTCGGGACACAAACAACACCTGGAAGCAGCATGTTTTTTCAATCTGCAGGAGGAACCATGTCTTGGCCCGGTGCTTCTGGAGAGCCTTCGCATGAAACATGCTGCGCTGCTATATGGGCCAGTATCCCAGAGCGGCAGCCATCTTTATGAAACCACCTAGACTTGAAGCCTGCCGGGAGAATGACGCAATCAATGATTCTTGCCTTTCCACTTGGTAAATTTCGGCTTGTCTCACCACTTCAAAACTCTGAGTACTGCCTATTTGCATATATCGGAAGGCTATTTGCGCATTGTCAATGGCCGAAGAATGGTCAACAAGACTATTCACTAGGAAAGAGAGAGGTATCCAGATCGGAAACATAGTGCGTGCCCACAGACGACGAGCAGTGGAAACATGCTTCTCGATGAGGAAAATTTCTTCATCCATGCCTCGCACGACTCGGCGAGGCTCACACAGGTAATTTTTTGCAGCACTAGGCTGACCGTCCCTGAAAAGTTGCTCAACTTTGGCTTTCAAGTCCAAGAGGAACTTGGCGACCACCAATGTACTTGTGATCTTCTCCTCACCGTCTCCTTTCATCCATGGTGGTGCAAAACCGCTGTCGGCAATTATGCCCAAGTGTTCCAAAGCTGTCTTGATTGCCCAGTCGAGGTCGTGACGGTCTTTGATGCCTGCATGCTTTACCCACAGCACTCCCGCACGAGTGATATCGATGATCACCCACACTGAGTAGCCGTTTCGTTGGCACTCCTTTACAGTCCAAACACAGTTCCGATAGTGTTGACCGATTCTGACATTATGGCTGGGCAAACTATGTGCGTGCCTTGGACGTGTCCATCGTCTCATGTCCCACCCACCTGCTATTTTCTACTCCTGCTACAATCTAAAAACTCAGGTCTGAGCCGATGTCCTTCCTTCCCATCATGTTGCATCAAGTCAAAAGGTCATATGACAGTGAACAGTGTCAAGCGTATTCTAAGATGCTTTGTCGGGGGATCTGTTGAACACTGCACAAAAGACTAGATATCAATTATAGTAAATCAGTGAATATTATAAGTTGAACTGGTATTCGAAGGATATATTTGACTAATTAACATCATAATTATGAAAATAACATCATAGAACACTTGCGTTATCTTGCGTTCCAGTTTTTCTAACATTGGCTATTTGTGCAATAGAACATTTTGAGGTATCATCCATTTTTGGACAAACCCAACTGATACCCTCAGTTCATGATGGCAATTGGATACAAACGGGTACACAACGCATCCAATGGTGACCAAGCCACGCCCAGACCGCTGTAGGGTTTTCGACATTTTAGCTGACATTCTTGGCCTTGCGATGCTGGAAACCGTCTCATCAATGCGATTGTGGGGAAATATCAGGTTGGGCTTCCCCTAGGCAAACATGGCCAGGAAAATATCTGAAAGTAGACAATGTACCTGTTGATAGAGAGCAATTGGCCTCAACAACCAGCAACTTCCTAGTTTAATCACCAGAAACTCTCCGCAAACTCTCCACTGGCTCAACTCTCCAGTGATTTCAGGAAATCCAGTCAAAGAGCGGTTTCTGCAAGTAACTAATGACAATTCACAACCTTCCCAGTCAGCTTCCCAGAAACCAGAACTTAATCCATATATCATCCATTTTTTTTAAACATCAGGAGATGTAACCCATATATAACCCACATATAATCCATATAGAAACCATATGTAAACCATATAATCCACATTTCTCATCCAGGGGATCCCTTTTTAAATCACCTCATTGGGGCAGCCCAGCCTGGCACTACTGAGCCGCAGCTCGAGGTGTCGTATTTGCATCCCTCCAGAGATGAGGGAGGCACCTGGCGGTGTACTATGGAAAATCACCATCTTTTTAATGGGTAAATCAACGATTTCTATGGCCATTTTCAAGTTCGCAAACTGCTTGTTTACCAGAGGGTAAGTATAATCCATATAGAACATATATCCATATATAATCCATATATAATCCATATATAATCCATATATATGTATATATATATATAACCATCATATGATCAGTGCATTGGCAAAAACCAGTAGAAAAAATGGACCGATGTTGGACCTGTTGGATGTTGATTTTCATCCTGAGGTCATGGCGCAGGGAACCAAGGGTTTGCAGCCGCTGGGATGCATCTCGAATCCACAACCTGTGAAAAACGGAGAGGTTAAACAAGTTAAACAACCAAGATGAGTTTTAACCGATGCTTTAAGCAAACATTCTAAATTCGAGATGAACAAAACAGAGTCATTCTTCAGATGACCACATCGATTCCTTTACTGCTGCCAGTTGCTGCTGTTTCCACACCTCTACCGCCCTGGAATGCTCCAGCAGGTGAAAAACCGCCTCAGATGACACTCTGCGTCTCGCTGCAAATGCCCGTTGTTTAATGCTACAACAATATGTTCAAAAATGAAGTAAACCCAATCAGAAACCATCCCAATTATAGATTTTCCCACGTTTCGATCTGTTCTTTCTTGCTTTCCCTCTGAATTGGATTCGATGACGCTTAAATCGGAAAGAACAGTCGGAAAACCACTTCTGATTGGTAGTTCGCTTGCATTTTTTCTATCTTCCAATTCATCTTTCATAGTTTTTCCATGTTTTTCCCATACTTATCCCATACTTATCCCAATATCTCTTCTCCAAAGATGGGTCAAATCGGGTCAAATCTGTCAAATCTCTGAGGCCCAGGCAATGCACTGCAGGCGTTCCGCCATAACCTTCGTCGCACCTCCAGCCATCGTGCGTCTTCACCTGAGCTGATGAAGTCGTCACTTGGAGATGGCCGGCTTGTGCCATTGTCATTGGCCATCCTTTGGCGTTAGCAGCCGTTAGCATTGAACAAAACCACCATCCAACAGTTCGCCAACAAGAAGAACTCAATATTATATTCTGTAAACTGGCTAGTTGGAGCCTTCCTTTTTCATGGTATGGTTAAACCAACAAATGACCAAATGACTCTCCATTTTCCCCATTGGAATTGCCAGGCTTCCCCGACGTACCCCACCGGAATCTCATCGGTGGCGTTGCACGAGTCCAGGATGCAGTTCAACTCACCTGAACAAATGCAGCTGGTAAAAGGCTGGGAAAATCACGGGAAAACTTTGGAACACTCCGAAAATGATGGATGGTGATGTGATATTTGGTGATGGGATGGGTTTTTTTGGCAGTTTTTGATGTTCCGCTTTTTGTATTCCCACCATTTCGGAAAATCTATGGCAACATCTGCCTTTTTTTCGGGCGCCTTGTAGAATCGGCTGGGCGTTCTCATCGCCGTTGTCCTCGCTGATCGGAGAAGCTCATGGGTTCAGCATGCTTCAGCACATCAGCAAATGAAAGAATGCTGGAACACCTGACAGATTGGGCTATGGTTTGGGTGGGATAGGATTGAATAGGGTGGATTGAGGAAAACATCGGTTGGCATCACTTTACTGAGCCTGTGGGCACAGTGCCGTGACAGATGCTCCGCTGTAGGGCCTACAGCGCCAATTTCCGCTTGATCCATTTGGGTCTGAAAATGTGGGGAAAAATGCCATTTTTCCATTCATTTTTTTATCGATATCACCATGTTCCCCATATACAAATTGCCATGCTTGGGGGGCACCACATTTTCATTCTAGATGATCCCAGTATTTCCAATTTTTGATTTCCAGCATTTTGTTGCTTATATGTTGCTTATCTATCCCATGTTTTCATCCTAGATGGCAACCAACGAATTCTTGTTAACGAATCCATATTCTGTGGTAAACATGGAGATTGATGAAATGTTGATGATTCTGGTGTGTGTTCACTTGGTTTTTACATGCTACTTTCATGGTTTTACAACCCATTTCGATGGTAAAAATGGTCAAAACATGTAATCTCTGAGAACCCCCACATGGCACAGGCCACTGTGCAGCTTTGTCCCGGTTGAAGATCTTCGCAACCCATTAACTCCACCTAGTCGAAAAACAACAGAAACTCTATGGAAAATCTATGGACGTAATGGGAACATGTATGAAAATGATGGGACATATGCTGGGGTATTATTCAAAAGCTATGCATTAAAATGAATTAAATCCATCGAATATGATCCATCAAACCATGGACAGTTGAATGGAAATGGCTGAAAGGATGAAACATGGCGCAAAACTCTCTGAGATGCAGGCGTCACAGCGATAATCTGTCAAGTTCCTCACAGAATGTCCCAACAAAATAGCTGAAAGGCACATGTTGCAGGGTGTTTTGCAAAAATAAGTAAACACATAAAAATAAATTCATGTGATAATTCGAAAACATTGATGTTGAAACAGGGATTTGATGGCAGCACAAAACTTCGAGGCAAACCATGTGCGGAGCGACTCTTGGGGACCACTTGGCCGATGTAAACTGGGCGCCAGGCAAACGAGCGCACGGAACCGCTTTCGTGCAGCCCGACAGCAACGGCACTTCCTGTGACAAAGACATGGGGTCCAAGGAATGAAAAACATATCTAACATTATCTAACTATCTATCTAACTATTTATCTATCTATCTATCTAAAAAAACGTCATATATCTTTGTAAACTTTTATGGAGTGTGAGACTGGAAAACACCAAATGTATCTGTGCTTCATTTTTTGTTAAACAACTGTTATTGCCCTTGCTCATTTTTTGGCAACCTTTTCGTCATTTTTGGATCGATGTTTGGTCATTTTGCCATTGTTCAGTCATTTTCTGGCGATATTTTGGTCGTTTTTTGGGTCAAGGTCACTTTTTGACAATCTTTTGGTCATCTACCTATGTACCTAACTGTCTAGCTATCGAGCAATCTGGCTACCTAGCTCCCATAACTGCAGGGATGATCCCCATAGCCTACCCGGTTCACATCACCATAAAACCCATCTACAACCTATCTTTTAGTGGGATTTACCTCTTTTTTGAATCGACCGCAACATCAGCAACATAAGAAATCAACAAGCGGATTTGGGTGTCTGAATGGGGAAAACTCATGATTAACCAGTGGATTTTTGGGGTGCCAAATGGTACCATATTTCCAGACGATGCACCTGGCACTTGCTCTCACTTCCGCAATGCAGCAGGGAAGTGCCCGTGTAGCCCTGCAAGGCTCATCACATTCTGTCTGGAGATGCTGACCTCAATTCTTCCAACTTTCGATACAATATCTTAAGGTCACTTTTGGTATATAAGACTATATTCTATATTATACTATATATTATATCTATATACCTATCCAATCTTGCTGGCTCTTCAAGGCTGGGCCACAACCATTCTTCCAGGTGCCTGTCCGCAAACCCTGTTGTCGTAGCCCGGCCCTGTTTTGACCTTGCAACCGGACCAAGGGGACCTAACTGGGTTCCAACTCTCCAACTTTCAAAGCTGCTGTCTGAATGCTCTCCTTTCAGGTGCTGACATATCCCGGAGGAATGGGACATGGATCAGGGCCTCAGCCATACCAAGCGATTTCTATGTGATTGGCGACAATCATCACCAGCAGCAAAAGCTGAGGCTGCGGCAGAAACAATCGCCCGGAAACCACATGAAGGCTCTGGTTGCATCCAAATTGTTGGGTGGACCTCACTTCTTTGAAGAGATCATGTGAAGGGGCCAACTTTTCCATCCATTTTGGATCCTGCCATGTTGGATGGGTATCTCAAACTGGAAAACTGATCTTTGAACCAAGGTCCAGACACATCGCTGTGGATTGAAAGCCCCTGTAAGGCCTCAGAATCCGCACAAAATTCATCCAAAGTCGTGTCCTGTTGAACCAAGGGCCCAGGCCGTTTGCATTGGATCGTCAGGCTCTCGCCTGCGCACCGGGCTTATTTCAGGGGGGTATATCCCAAGATGGCAAGTTTTATGTGGAACATGATGGTAATCCGTGGGATTTCAAGGTTTAAAAACCTTTGACAAAATCAATTGATCCTTGAAATTGGTGAAAATCAACCGAGAACTGTGCTGCAGTGATCTGGGTTTTGTTTGAAAGCGTGGGGAACCGGCAGAAACCCCAAAAAACCTGCTGGGTAATCATCATTTTTCTCAAAATTGGTCATCTGCACCTCCCCAAAGCTGCACGGTCGGGTCGTAGTCGTAGATCTGTCAAGACATCATGAGGGGAACGATTCACTTCAAAGTTTGCCAAAACCTTCATCTATGAATCTATGGTATGTGGAAACCAATCCTTTTTTACTTATCTTTCCATGCACAATTCACATATATATATATACATACACACACTCATAATATATGTATATATATATATATATTGTATATTTCTACATAGAAAAAAAAACGCATTTTCATCATGTTCATCTCTGCCGTGCGATGGCCACCACTCCAAATCGATGTCCTTAGGACCTGACGCATGGATCGATCTCCGGAAAGACGCAGGGGAAGAGCCTCAATGTGTTTTTATATGTTCAACTGGAATGACTGGAATTTGGTTGAACTGTTTTTAGGTAGCAAAAATTCCTCAAACATCTCCTGATTTGGTGTAAAAACACCGATCAAGGGACTCATAGCACCCGAAGAGCGTGGTCTCGATGTCGCAGCCCGGGAATTTCCGCGAACAGAAGGAATCTCGGTGCCACACGATGCTGACAACGGATTTCTTGGAGAAATCGTCCTATGATGTCCTTTCTAAACTGCTTGAGATATCATTGTATACCCATTGTATCATCAATATATCATAGAAAAGCGATGGAGATTTCTTGTGTGGGAAATGATGTGAAGGAATAATGCTACGGTTGGATGTAGCTCCGACTAGCTTAAATCTATCCCGGAGGGAAATTCGAAATCCCTGCAACATGAAATCATAAAACACGGCATTGAGCTGTCGACTGGCACTGCCCCAGAATCCAGGTGCCTTGCTGTGGGGTAAATTTCTTGGGAGTTTCCAGGTGTCAATCAACATCAATCAGCATAAGTTTAACCAAAAGTTGGACAGAACTTCACTATAGCAACCAAAGAACCCATATTACTTTAACCGGTAGGATTTGGCTGCTCTTTTGTGGGGGTTGCTTTAAATAGGTTTCTAATTTTTATTACTTGGCAACAAATATGAAAGAATGAAATCAATGTTTACACAGCTGTACACTGTACACATTACCATTGGGCCGTTGACTACATACTACCCATTTATGGCTTTCCATGGTAAATGATGATTCACCAGGATTCACCATTGGATTTCCATGGGTTTTTCGGATGTTTTTCTCCTCAGTTCCGAACGCATTCCAGGAAGCCGGTGACCTCAAGGGACCCATGGCGGGCACCATGGCACTTTGGAAAACGTTCCGAGCTTCGGGCGTTGCTTCTCCAGTAGCCCCGCGGCATTGGAACGGGATCTGGGCAAACCATCCTGCGAAATGTCTGAAAAAAGGATGGAATGTTTGGAAAATGATGAAAAAAGATATGGAAAGTGACTGGAAAATTGCTGGTGAAGATGAACAGGGCTAGTGGATTTCATGTGAAGATGGCAGTGGAGTAATCCTATGATCATCCTGTGATCATGACACAATCATGACACAAGACATAGTTTTTCAATGAAACCAATGAAACACCGGCATATGACGGTGCCAACAAGATCATCTGCCTGCAGCTGGGTCGGGTCCATTCCACCAAGCGGTTGGGATTGGTGTTGGAGTCCAAGCAATAGCCTGTCGCAAACATCGTCTCAAATGTGTTTCAAAATGCCTGGAAATGTGTCTCAAAATGTTGGACATCATCCCATCCCAGCCATCCCATCCATCCCATTTCTCGGCCCAGCCTCCAGTGGATGTACCTTCGTAGTTGGTTTGACACCGCAGGACGCAGAACTGGCCCGGCCCCAAGTTGTCGCATTCCGAGGTGTTGTAGACCTGATTTGTGTAAAATGGTGAAACCAACAGTACCAAATAGTACCAATTTTTCGATGCTGAAACATGGTGAAACCCAAGATGCTGAAACATGGTAAACATCTGCTGTTGACTCAGGGCATCACGCACTCGTCCGCCGATGGCTTGACACAACCCACCACTGGGAGACAACCTGGGTCAAAACGAAAATCTAGTGATGGGGATTTTATATCAAACATATCTTATATGACAAAATATCTGTTCATCAATAATCATCAATATATCAACAGGTCATATATAAGATATTAACTGACACTTGTTTCTTGATATTCCATTCTGTGGATTTTCCATCCACAGGCCGATGTTTTTTTCCGGTGCTCAGTGCCGCACCCACCAGCACGGTGTTGCTGGTGCAGTTGGAGCTGTTCAAAGGGTCGACGTAGATCGGACAACTTTCCACCGCTTGGCCTCCATAGCCCGAGGCCTCGCGGAATCTCATTGTGATGTCAAAAATGGCATCACATGATACCGTACTGCAGTACTGCATGTGTTTCAATGAAAATATAATGATGATAATTATAATAGTAATATTATTATTAACAATTACTAATAATAATTATAATTACTCTATATATATATATTGCACATGGAGATACTAACCATCAAGTAAAATATATTTTTTTGCACAGCTTCTGGGGACTTTCGTCGCAGCGTGCTAGCCGGTGAATTCTGAAGGAGTCTAACCTCCAAAGTCATGGCCAATGATGCTGCCAAAAGCGCTAACTGTCATAGCGCGGCATTTAGCCAAAAAGCTGGGATCGACGATACAATTTGAACAAAAGGGATTGCGCCGAAACCAGCTGCAAAATGCATGCGAAAAGGCCCTGTTTAATGCCGGGGGATACTCCTTCAAAGGAGCGGTACGCCATGTGCCGTCCGCTGCCCGGCCAATTGCACTGCGCTTTGGCAGGTCAGGGGTCACATGATGCTGCCTGAGATGGGTCTTCAGGTCAGGCAAATTCAAGGCAAGAAGTCTAGTTGGCTTCGGTGAGCTCGCACCAAGAAGACCTTGCGCAATGTCGATGATCTCCACGCCAGAGAATCTGCTCAGCAATTGCATCACTTCCAAATGCCAAATGGAAGGTCGGGTGGGCTCCTCAGGTTCTTTGGGATGTTCAATGAGTCCAAAGCCCTCGGAGCACGCCAACGCGTAGAGCAGCTCAATGGCGAAGAGCAGCAGCTCATTTCCAGTCGCAACCTGATGGGCCTCTCGGAGGCTAAGCGAGTCAAAGCCCCATAGATGCTCCCTGTCACGAAGTGGTCGGGGTCCTCGTCCTGGATGAAGGGGATCTTCAACATGGCGAGCTTGTGACCAAGTCTCACATGGTGGGCCACAAAGTGCTCCAAGGACCCATCCAGACGTCACTCCCTGTTTCCAAAATGTCTGAGTCGCCGGTCTGCGCACATCGCCAAACTCGGCGTCAATCACCAGATCGAGCGAAACAACGCACAAAATGGATCCATCCTTGCAGTTGGCACTGAAGACCTTCTCCATGTAGAATTGTAGGTCTCCTGCACGCCTGCGCCCGGAAAATACATGAAGGAAAATGCGCTCTCTGCTACAGGGTCTCGGAATGCTCTGTGCCGGGGCCCTCCATCGCGCCTGCGAAAAGACATCCTCAATCATTTCAAGTGAGGCATGTGACTGGGTGTGGTCACAGGCACCTTGAAAGAGCGGCCAGTGCGAGGGCTGAGCAACTTCGAGAAGACATCTGCTAATCTCCGTTCTCACATGCAAGGAAAAGCTCAAATCAGCTGCCTCAAAATGAGTGGAAAGGCAACGAAAAGTCGTCGTCCATGTAGTCCAGGAGATAGGCCATCGGAGAGAGAGCTGCTCAAGCTGCTTCTCAAAGTCAGAGATCGTGTCTGTCGTGGTCTCCACAATCAGAAGAGAGACAGCCTCAAACAGTTCTCCATGTTCTGCCTCAAAGTCCCGTGGAATCGCGGGCTCTTCCAGGGGTCCCTCTGCCTGAAGAGGTGGGAGTCTGCCATCCCATTCTTCATGACGTTGCAAGTCCACCAGCGACCCAAGACCCGCAGACGGTTTCAGGCAAATCCGTCTTCCCAGCAATTGCTGACGGCAATGATGGGCACGGATGAGGTGCGCCTTGAGCTTGCCCTGCGTAAAGTATTCGGTGAGGCATGCTCCACATTGTGTGCCACCAATGAGCGTGCGCACAGGGTGTGTAATGCCATGGGATTTGAACATGTGCGCTCCTTCCCCAGCGAAACTCTGACATCTTAATGAGCAATGAAGGCATCCAAAGAATGATTTCGTACTCGTGGAAGTGGTATGGTGCAAATCAGGGCCCTCCCATCGTCCATGCGATTGCATCATGTCATGAATGCGCACATGCGCCGATCTGCAAAGGAACCGCCTGGATGCGACCAGCACCGAATGCTCCCGAGCACGTCGAAGAAGTCGTTTCCAGTAACCGCGATGAAAGGTGATCACCTCCAACCACCGATCGGTATGAGAAAAAGGATCTCCAAGATGACATGTTCTGCCAAGTTGGTCCCCTGCCCATTGCAGATCGGCACGAAGAAGATCCATCCAGGCCTGATCTTGGTTAAGCAGGCCCCAGTGAGCAGAAGCGCCCACAGAAAGAAGAGAGCCCAAGTAGCTCAGCCTGCGAATCCGCAAAAGAGTAGCTGGTTCCGGCAGCCCTGTGCGGTGTAGGACTTCCTCATCCGAAAGGTGAGCATCCCGAGGACTCTTCAACAACCGCTTGTAGAGGCGAACAATGGCACAATGCAAATATTCCTTTGTTTTCTGGTCGCAGATGCACCAGGTTTCAGCGCCGAACAGCAGACGACTGAGAACCAAGCTGTTGAAGATCTCGATGCGTTTGGCGATGACAAGGCCTTCATTCTGGTAGATGATCTTCCGATGTTTGTTGAAAGATTGATGAGCAATGGCGATCCTGCGACGAATCTCCTTGCGGAGGTCTCCAGTAAAATGAGTCAACCCGCCCAAGTGCACATAGGAGTTCACCATGTTGATGTGGTAGGGCCCATACTCTCCAATCGCAGTGAATGTGCCAGGTGCATTTGGACCAAACAGTTGCCGCTTGCAAGACTGTGCACCAGGTCCACGAGGTTTGAAGATGATTTCGGATTTGCCCTTGTTCAAGTTCGGAGTCATGGCATGAGACCGACAAAGGTCCAGAATTGAGCTGGTGGCCACCCCTAAATTGCTCAAGAGTTCCTCATTGGTATTGGCTGTGAGAGGAATCGCCAAGTCATCCATCCAGCATGGTCCCAACAGTCTCTGCTGGCGCTGTGCAGCGGCACCGTGATGGTCAGGTTGTTGTCCATGCAGATCAATGGTGAGTTCCTGTGGAAATTCCGACAGAATATGGGATTGCTCCATGGCCGCTTCAAATGATTGTAACACCCGAGCCATCAAGTACCCGAACACCACGTCTGCGTATGAATCGCCAGGGCGCGAGCCGTGGACCGTGCGGACACGGTCATCTTGTCCATGCAAAGCGAAGAACGTGTCTGTATGCAATGCTTGGATAGCTCGTCGTGACACCTGGTTCATCTGAGCAGCCTCAACAGCGCTAGGAGCTCTGAGGTGTTCATAGAGATCGTGCAAGAGGTGATGATCCATCTTTAAGCGCACAGCCATGGTCGCAATGACCTCATCGGTCCAATCACCAGAAATGGCAAGAGGACGCACCACTCTATAAAATGCCTCCTGTAGGTCAATGAAAAGCACTGCTGTGGGCTGTCTGCGTGCTTCGAAAACTCGTAGAAATGCTCTGATGAGATGCCCTCCAAGAACCACAGAGATTCCTTTGCGGCCTCCAAGCTGCTGGGGATGCAGAAAACTTTGATAGAGATCCGTCTGTTTGGTGCGCAGAGCTTTGTGCAAAGTCTTGCCCACCATAGACGAAATCAAGATGGAACGGAATGCTTGGCATGAATCTTTCCCAAGTTTTCCCTTCCAGATGGGCACAAGGTAGCCGCCCTTGTGCTCCAGAGGTTCCTGCCCCTGCAAGCAGATCTTCAAAAGCAGCGAGTAGAATTGTTTTGCAATCGTACTAGGACAATATCGCAACAATTCAGAGGGGATTCCGTCCATGCCAGAGGCCTTACCAGCCTTGACTTGTCGGCATGCTTGTTCAAGTTCTGCAAGCGAAGGGATCTCCTGAATGGCAATTGTGAACCCAGATTGGGCCAGCTTGGAGAGGTTGCTTCGCCAGATGCGTCGTTGTTCTGCAAGGGGAAGTCTCTCTCCTCCTTCCATCTCACTGAAAAATTCAATCCAACGATTGAGAGCTGCTTCATGAGAAGTGCAAGGCTGTCCACAGGCATCCTTGATCAAAGGCAGCGGCGAGAGGCCTTGACGAAGTTTGTTGGTGGAGCCCAGAAAGGGGCGCAATTTCTGCTGAATGTCAGAAGCTGATGTCGAGTGATCAAACTCACTGACAAGCTCCGAGTGCACAGTCGCCTTGTTCTTGCTAATCATTCTACGAAGAAGGCCCGCAGAAGTCCGAAACCCAAGTCCATGATGCAAAATGCCAATACGAAGTGTAGAGCCAAATGCAAAGGACTGCTCCTGTTCCCAAGTGTTGGGTGCTTTCCACGCCAAGAAAGTCCGAGCCAGAGTTTCTCTGCGGAATAGCCCACGTAGCAAGCGAAGTTGTTTGCGATGGTGAAGCTTGGTCTTCCTCAATGCCCAAATCTGGTCTGTGACATAAGGTTTGACTGGGCCATGTCTGGGCCTGGGGCAAAACCGTTGCAGCTGAGAGTGCAAGTGTGATGTGATTTTGTTCAAGTGGTCCTCCACATCAGTCTGCCAAGGAACAACATGGGAGGAGCAAAGATTGTGTGGCAGTTGTCGCTGAATGAGGGAGCGATCAAATTCTTGACCCACAGTTCCATGGTGGCGACGACTCTGCCCAATAGCTTGCTGAAACGACCAGCCGATTTCAACTACATACGCAGAGTGGTCCAGATTCTTGTTGCCCATGTCAAGCTCTTCCAGAATCTGTGAACGATGGCATCTGTCCGACCATGCACTGGGTAACAAGACATAGTCAATCGTGAACTCATCCCCGATGGGTGACGTCCATGTACATGTTGTGCCCGAGTGGATAGGGCTCGCAATGGGTGCAAAGAGTTGAAATTCAAGCATAAAGTCTCGCAAAAACCGAGTGCCCGATGATGTACGAAAGCCCTCAGAGATGACGCCTTGCCCATCAGGATCGCCCAGTCCAGCATTGGCATCGATACAAACAAAGAGAGGCGAGTCGCCAACTCCTGCTCTGTGAAGACAATCATGCGTGTCTGACCACCAAGTCGACCTGTCTGACGTTGAATAGCCACTGTGAGGCGCATAAGCAACGAGAATCCAAGCCTCAAACCAGTCATGTTGAAGCCGTACCAGGAGGCGACGGTGATCACGATGTGCAACGCAGAAGTGCTTACGCTGAAGGTAAATCTCTTTGCGATCAAGGGTGGCAATTGGCTGTTGAAGATTGCACCACAATTCAACACCTCCTTGTCCCTGAGAACTTCCTGAGGACAGTCTGAAAATGCCATGCTGAAGGGACGATCCTTCCTCGGATCTCGTTTCTTGCAGGCCCAGGAAGTTGACATGTAGCTCCAGAAGCTGGGATCTGATAAACCCGAGCTTGCCTGCAAACCCATGTTCTCCTCGTCCAAGGGATTGCACGTTGCCCGTGGCAATGCTGATGGCAAACTCGATCTGTTTGAGCCGCACGTCATGTTGCTCAGCAGGTCGCGGGCCATCAACAGGTGGAAGGTCGGGAGGATGCACATCAAAACCACTGCCTTGAAATGATGGAACTCCAGAATGGGAATCAAAAAGCATCCAAAGAAAGGGAATGATGGGCCGCCAGGTGGACAACTCAAGTGCCGGTCGCTTGAGGAAAAACCCTTTCTTCCCTTCCTGTTTGGCAATGTGATCACAGAACTCATTGTAAGGATCCCCTGCATGTCCAGGAATATGGTCAAAAAGGAGGCCGTCAGGTCCAAGCGCCGAGTCCAGCAGCTGCGCGCAACCACGCAGGATCTGAAAGGAGCTGTCGCATTGGGAGGCTCCAATGACACCTTGTGCCTGTTGCAGGGTCAGCATGGAATCGCTCCTGAAAATGGTGGGGATGCAAGAATTTTGCCCTATTCTCCAAAGCATGGCCCAGGTTAACGCCTCCCTCTCCGCAATTGCAGATCCAGTGCGGTCAGCTCCAAGAGACCATGGATGATCAGCACCGCAGCGAACTTGATGGGCGGACCAACCAATCAGCGTAAACTCAGAGGAAGATGACGAAACATAGGTCTCACCCAAGACAAGGAAACACCAAGCGTCTGGGATCCCAATCTCTTCATTGAGAAAGGGGTCAATGTGTCGGTGCCTCGTCTGGGAGGATCCATCTGTGTAAATCACCAACCTGTCAAACTGTGAACGATGGGCAAGCTGCGCAAACTTATCCACACAGATGTCTGGTAGGTCAAGTCCCTCAAAGGAGGTGCAAAGCGTTCCTTTTGATGAGGTGAAGAAGGCTGCCAAGTCTGCCGAAGTAACACCACGATCCAAATTGCATGGGGCATTCACCTCCAGATATTTGGGCAGAAACATGGGTCGTAAAGGTCGCTGGGGCTGATGTGGTGGCCAGTCCGGAAGCTGTCTGACTCTCGGTTCTGGCAACTGGAGCGAGCCGTGGGACACCGTGAAGACAACCTCTGTGATGCCAGCTGCATGCGGAATAGACGAGAGAATCACCGCTTTTTCGAAACCTAATTGGTAAAGAAGCCTCATGTGATCAATCTCGCTGGGGTTGGTCTCAATGTCAAATGAGTGAAGAAGAACATCGAAGGGCTCAGCTTGAGAGACATAGACAAAGTGATTCGCTGTAGGTGCCTCCAGGAATTCCAAAGGAAAGGCAAGTCCAGTGAATTCATCTGAAAGCAGGGCAATATTGCAGCAAATCCCAAAACATTTGAGTTCTTGGGAGACTTTCAGAGCCGAAGGTGGCGAGGGAACCTCAAGGAAGGAGGGCAAAGTCCCTGGTAATTCTCCAGCACCTATCAGACGGATGGGCGCGTAGGGGATCTCAGTGTGATGTTGCCCTTTGGGAGGCCCATGGGTGTGAGCCACCTGCCCATGTGTTAGGCGCCTCCTCTTCCCTACCTTTCGTTTGGCGGTGAGCTGCAGAAGGTTAAGGCCATCTTGCTGCGCTTGAAGCTCTTGAAGTGTCGGGCGCCTGCTAGCTTGGAATAAAATGCCAGATCCATCCCTGATGGGAGTGGGTCGCCCAAGCATCAGTATATTGGTGCCTCAGAAAGAAGGGGCATTTGGAGAAAGGCAACGGTCAGTCAATCCAAGCATAGTGACCAGGTCTTCAAGAGCGACTTGGTCACGAGTGGTCAGCGCAAACTGCATCGACGGACCACTGGGCAATCGTTCTGTGTCAAAGACAGTGATGATGCCAGAAGAAAGTTCATCCTGGGGGTTCTGGATCAGGATCACATGGGCAACAATGCTGCGATCCCAGATGGGTGGAGCCGGCTGAACCACATGGACCATGATTGGGGCACCTTGTAGTTGAAGGTCAGACCATGCTCGACGGAGTAAGCCTTCCCAGTCATGAGCGTTCTCTGAGAGTTGAACGACTCTGGGTCGCCAACAGACATGAAGGGCCCTGTTGAACTGGTCCACGAACCAGGTGATGACCTTAATGGAAACGACTTCACCCTCCCAGCTAAAGGCCGTCTGCGCCCAGAGGTCTCTCAAAGCTTCCATCCCCGCCGGTGTTGAGCTGTGGGAGGTACGTCCAGGACAAAATCGATGTGCAGATGGATTGAACTCAAAGCGCTCAGCACCGTGTGAGATCCTGTCTGTGCCGGGCCCATCAATGCCATCCAGTTGCTGGTCATGAGGAGTTTGAAGGAATCCACTATGGTCGCTCTCTTCAGCGTGAGATGCTGCCTGCGCAAAGTCCTGTGAAGGAGAAATATAAATGACGATCCCAATGCCAGATTCGATCTCATCAAAATCGATTGGGTCAAAGGGAAGTGGGCCACGTCGCACACTGCATCGGCGAAATCGACATTCAACTTGAAAGTCCACCAGTCGAATCACTGAGTTCGCCGTGATGAGTGAAGGCAAGGACCAAGCAGTGTGATCAATCAAAACTCCTCGTGGGCCGGAGTCGTGCGTCGAGATCAACCCCACAACCATTTCATGCCGTGGAGCTTGTTCAATGATAATATGTGCAAGCAGGCACTCCATGATGGTACAAGGCGGTGTCGGCCTGACCAGGTAGTGTGATGTCCATGTTCTCGTCAATGACCTCCTCCCATGGAGCGATAAGCTCTTCAATCCATGAAGCTGGATCCTGAAAGAGTTTCACTGCTCGGGGATCAGCGCAACGAGGGTGTTGAAAATGATGTACAAACCATGTATCAACGTACGCAATTTGGCCCTCCTCTTCACATTCAATCAAGGAATGAGCCCGGAAAAGGCTTTGGAGAGTCTCAAAATCTCTATCATGAAATCGAATCAGGCGGGTCGGTGTTCGCACTGGCTGTCCGCTTCCAACCGCAGAGCCAAGCCTTGAAGGCTGTGTGACTTGGTCAGGTGCAACTTTGAGTTGGAGCAAAGGCGTTTGGCCAGTTCTTGAAGGGCAGGAGGAAGGCATCGATTGCATGTCCAGCTGGAAGAAAGTGCTGTGATCATCTGCTCGAGCAATGTCATGCATCCGAGATCCCTGCGCTTGGCATTCAGGCCGATGATGTGGCCGATGAGCTTCCAAGGAGAAGTCACGCGAGATGGCTATTGCCCTGGAAGTATCCAGTGTAGTGTCCGCAGGTGGCGGGACCAGAACACGTACGTAATCACCATGTTGAAGGTCATGAAGTGTGCGATCTTGCAGCAATCAAAGTTGGTGATTTTTGAAGACGGTGCAATGGTCACCATGCAGTTCACAATAGTCCAGAAGGCCCAACAGAAGTAAAATTTGAGATCTGTGCACTGGGGGCAAGATCCGGTAAACTTTTCTGGTGACCGTGGGAGGAACTAAAAGTCCATCAGGGAGCGCATGGAAATGAATCTCAAGGTCGATGAGGATCAATTGTTCTCTGGAACCAGGAAGGATATCGGCTCTGGACTGATGGATCACAGCTCGTTCATGTTGTTCCTGTAGTCCAATTGGCAAAACCGTCATAACATGGAGTCCGAAGATGTCATTGCGACGAAGCAAAAGGCATCTCGCGATGTCAAACATGAGACGCCTATGCGAAGACCAACGGAGATAGCAATGACCATCAGTCCGCTCAAGTCGAAAGATGTGGACACCAAGTTCATCTTCGGGGCGGAAAGAACCAGAAGAACTTCCATGTGAAGGCGAAGCCTCCTGATGGGGCGCTTCAAAGTCATCATAATCAAGATCTTCACGTCCCCTGTCTGTCTGAGAAAGAGCAGTTCGAGACGGACCATTCAGGCCGCGTCCAAAGCGATCTTCATTGGAGTCCGTGACCGTGATGACAAAAGAGTGACCATTTTGCATGTGATGAACTGGTCGATGATCATGAGGAATGCGATCCCATCCGTGAGAGACAGTACACTGATAATGGTCTCTGTTGCACCATTGATCCGCGTCTGAAATCTCCGACAGACGTCGACCGCTAACTGTCAACTCAAGAGAACACGCCAGCGCATAAGAATGTGGATCAGCATCACGACCATGATAGTGCACAGTGATGAGGCTGGCTCTACGAGGAAGATCATTGCCCTGAGTGATAATGACGTCACCATGAACCCGATGACGCAGATACCCTCGGTAAGGATCAGGTAGAGCTAGATGGAACCAGATGCTTGCACCAGCGTGCAAGTGGGTGCGCCATGATCCAATGATGTCGTCCTCCCATCTTCTCCAATCATCTTCAAGCTCAACGAATCTGGCATGGAAATTCACTGGATGGTTGTCATGGTGAAGATACCATGTACGGAGACGCAAGATACCATCTCCATCAGGATCGACGAAAACCTCCTGTGCATCAGCGATAGCCTGAAGATCCTGAGCAAAGGGAGGTGCCTCATGGATATCTGGAATCACATCGGGGTCAGGTTCAGTTGGTTCCTGTTGGAGACGACGAGCGGGGTTGTCCAATTGGTTGTCAATGATCTTGTGCTGATCAACATCGCCAGGAGTGGCCGCAATTCGAGTGTCGAATTGGCCATGGGAAGAAGAGCAACTTCGTACAAAATCTCCCTCATGCCAAGGACAAACTTGGAAACGACTTGCACGCATTTCTGCAATCTTGGGGCAACCACTCCAGGGTGTTGATTCGCAGGCAAAGTAGGTAGCCGGCAAACAAAACTTCTGCATTCTCCATTCAGTGTCCTCACCCAGAAAAAGACATGTCCAATCTGCAAATCCCACACGCAGAGAAGTCGATGTCCTGCTCTTCAAAGAAGATCTCAAGGTCGGAGATGAAGAAGAAAAGAGAGGACCAGTGTGACAGCCAGCAAGGTTCATCTCAAGCGCAAGCTTGTGAGCACTCTCTCTGGCACCGCATTCACATTGAAAATCCTCCTCGAAGGTAATGTGATGGCTCCATTGCATGGCCGCTAAGGCCCCTGGATCTTCAGGCTTCCGACTGCTATACCATAAGGTCATAGACAGCCAGCCTAGTTGAAAGGCGGCTTGGCCTCTTCTTCCTTGGAATCTTCTGATGTCCTGGGGCGCTTGGCAGCTGGCCCTTCGATTTGAATGGCTTCGGCTTCCTTCGAAAGCTGCTGCAGAGAATCTGACAGGGTTTGGATGCTCGTTGTGATCTGCATCGCAGAAGATTCCGCGTCTCCAGGAAGTTCTTCCTCGTCGCTGGCAGAGATCTCTGTCACTTGACCCGCCGAAGTCTTCGATGCATCGAGACACTCCTTTGCCTCCTGAAATTGTTCTTTGGCAGAAGCAATTCTGGTTTGCAAGGCAGCTTCGTTCTGTTCGAACATCCTGGCGTAGTCCGTCCAATTCCGGACCGATTCTGCCAAAAATGTCTTCCAAGTCGAAACATGCTGAACTCGAGCTTGAAGGGCCTCCTCGTAGGCAGTGCAAGCTTCTCCAAGCGCCTTGGCAGATGCCTGCAAATCTTTGATGACCTTCTTCCCCTGTTTTCTGGACTCCGTCTGAACTCGTTGTTGAACATCTGGAGGAAGATCCACAGATCGCTTCTGCAAGAAGTTGATCAGATCGGATTGTCCAGGATTGGGGGCACTCTGAACCATGGTAGGTGCCGGAACCGCCAGAGGAACAAAAGGCTGCGGCATAGGACTTTGCGCAGGCTGTTGCAAAGGCGGTGGAGGCATCATATTCATCATGTTCAAGAGGGACATATTCGGTGCACCTTGTTGCGGAAACGGCTGTGCCCACATTGGGGGCGGTCCAGCTGGAGGCGGCAAAGGTGGACCCTGTGGAAAGTTCTGCTGCTGAAAAGGAGCTGCAGGAAATTGCTGATAAGGTCCATAACCATAAGCATCCTTGCCTTTGCCTCCTCGTGGAGATGGCTTCCGAGGGCTCTGACCACGGCGTGGTGATTTCTTCCCTCGCGGTGATTGGCTCCTGTGGTGCTGTTGACCTCCTTGTTGACCACCATGAAAACCCCAAGCATGGTAATCTTGTCCATCTTGATGTTGTTTCACACCATGAACAAAGGAGCGATCCATAGCTGACTGCCATGGAAGATGGCATGTTTGACAGTGGGATGCATTGTGCTTCCGCAGCTGTTTGCAGTGTAGACAACGCCAAGGAGCATTGACATTCTGCATGGCTCTGACGATGGCTCGAAGAAAACCGTCGTCTCGAGAGTGATGGGTGTAGAGCACTCGAAACACCTGTTGAAGACGCCGAGGTCCAAGAGGTGCAATGCCTGTCTTGTGGAGATGCCACTGAAGTCTTGCCCGTGCACGCTGACGTCGCTGAGAACGCCTTGCCGAGGCAGTCGCCGTAGTGAATCTCCCTAATCAGGTCAAAGTCCACGTCCAAGTCCAGGGTGTAGAACAGGATGAAGTGCACCAGCGAAAACAGCTGAAGACGAAGAAGAGCACACATGCACCAGCCGCCAGAATACCCGGGATTTTAACGAGTCCGGGACCTCAGATCGTGCCAAGGTGATGCTAGATCTGCGTCTAGCAGAGCACTATGCAAGCGAAGTTCCAGGGCAAAACCAGGTCAGAAAATCGCTGCAGGTCGAAAAGGCAACGAAAACAAAATTGCCCGGGGGTCAGACAGTCGCAGATGACCCCCTAAGGTGAGTGGATACGAGGGCTTCGCTTCGATCCCAAACCTTGTAAAAAAAAATATATATCTCATCTGCAAATCAACACACCTGCGATTTCAGGAATGAGCTCCCAACACATTGCCAGCTCTGCTGGGAACCCACTGTGGTCAGTTCGAAGCCATCTACCGACCTGAGATTTGCAATTAAAACAGGTGTTCATGTTATCAAACATAAACCCATCATGATAATCCTTAGTTATAGTGATCTTTAATAATAAACCCATCATGACCATCATGTTATCAATTTCCCATTCATGTTATCCGCATGGAAATAGACTTTAACCATCTTTAGTCCGAATTCATCCAAGTTCTGAAGAACTTTCGGTTTCCAAATCAGCCGAGTCACTGGAATTCGGGCGTGGGGCACACCGTGTAGTTGCATCTGGGCCCGGATTTGTTCACAGCTACAAACATGACACAAACGAATGTGACAACTTCCAGATTCTAATCATTTTGTGATTTTATCGTGGGAAGATCCATCGAAAGGGCCAATTCGAAGAACACTAATCCACTTCTTGATGTGTGACTGGGAGAAACAGAAACTGTCAGCAGAAAATCTCAGCTCAGCACATTGGGATCTTCCAATTCAGAGAGGTATTTAGCATCTGGGCGCGCTTGGAAAATGTCAGGCTGGGGCTTTCCCACACCCCAAATGCACATGTTCTTTCACAAGTTAAAATGCAAAACCACATGGGTATTGATGATTTACAGATATGGATATTTATATGGATCATAGATATGTGGATATCCAAACAGATCTAAACTTAACGAAGTTTGAGGTTTCGATGTCCAAATGGAAACCGGGCTGCCAGACGGTGTTACCTTCAGGGCACCTTCCCACGGTTGGTGTCCTAGCTGGACATCAGTGTTTCACACCCAAAAACCAAGAAATAGATCATAAAATCAACCAAAAAAGGTGGGATGTAGACACATTCAGCACATATGTAAACCATCAAAATGGTTGAAGTTGGATGGCAATTTTTATATCGCCCATTTCAGTGTACCCAAATGGCGTTGATTCGGTGCGGTCCCGACGTAGGGATCTTGGCAGAAGATATCACAGGTCTCTCCAGGCCTTCGACAGATCGACAGCACAAGCTGCAAAAATGCAGAAATCTCCATCGGATTTACTCGTTTGATATTCGATGATATACGATACATTTGGATTGATGGTGTACCAATAGATGTCTGTTTTTTTTACAAGTCCTCTATAAATAATATGTAGTAATATAATATAATATAGTGTAATAATGGATCTTTTATATACTCTATTTATCGATAGACATCACCAGAACTCATCAGCTGAATCTGCACATCCCAGCGACATGACTCCGCTGCAGTTGGAGGCGTCGTAAAGGCAGTTGCTTTCCAAGGACTGGCAGCTGAACCGTGGTGAACCAGCCAGATTGGCGATTAAACTCTAAAAGGAGGTTGTTTTTGAATGGGAAAGACCAAGTGCAAAGAACAATGGAGGTAGGAACCACCCAAAAACTGGTGGCATTAATTTTCATATCCAGCAACGATGAGAAACTTAGGTTCTGAAGCTCATGGATCATGGGAATAGAGCCTGCCATATGGCCGTTTTTAGAGGCTTTCTATTGGCAACACACATTTTTGATATGGAGGATTTGCACTAAGTTGATATGGATCTTGGTATCATCACCTATAAATAAGCCAATAAACAATCAATACATAAATTAATAATTTTCTAAAGTACTGTTGTGAACGATAATATGACTCATCATCATCATCATCATCATCATTTCTTTTCAACAGCAGAAAATTTCTTCAACGGTGAGCACCTCGCAGGGCTGTAGCTCTTCACATCCACTGAGCTGGACCTGCATATTGCAACTCGCCTCAGAGATCCGTTGCCCGGTCACTGCGGTTGCATGCCGTTGGGGGGTGTTTGCCATCCAACAGCTGTAAGGAAATTCCAGCATTGTAGCTGCGAAAACGATCTATACCTGGTGATTGAGGGGGAAAATCAGATGATGATGGGATGATGATGGGATAGGAATGTGATGTGGGATGTGATGGTCACCCTTGTCACACAGTCTCAACATTCCAAAATTGGGCAATCGAACGAAGCCAACAGCAATCAGCGACTTTGACAGTACTCTCAGTAATCCAAACATATGGGTTTGGTTCAAATAGATGAATCTCACGAATGTCACGATTTTGAAGCCCTTGGTTGTTCTTCCAATTTCATCCATTTTCCATTTCCATTTCCATCTTGTCGTGAAAACCAAGGACCTGACATCGGTACTGCAGGTGTGGAGCACTTCCCCCACATATCCCACAGCACATTCCCAGCCATTACCACTCCTGCACGTGGACGAGGTGTTTTGTCTCCAACTGTGCGGTTGAAAAATCCAGGTTGAACAACATCCACTTGATTCAACCATAGTTTTTAAGAATAATTATTCAACCAAAAATCTCCAAAAAGATGCCGCAAATTATCATTTGCTATCTAATCTATTCTGCTGATCTCTGGTGAGGTTTCCCGTTACACGCCTGGCATAGCCCGTGGGGACGCTGCTGGGTTCGGGGCAATCGCACTGAAAGTCCTGCGGGCCGTGGATGCACCGGAAACTCACCGGAAACGAACCGTAAACGATGGGGAACAACCACATCGAAGTGTTAGTTTAGGGTATCTCCTGATGCAGTGGGAAAACGTGGCTAGATGATATGACTATGTGCCCCCTGGGATCTTCACATCTGATCTGAACAAACTTAGTGTCAAACCAGTATATCAAACATTAACCCGCTGATCTATCAATGTCAACAAACCTCGGGTCAAATTAGGGTCTTCGTATTTAACACTTGTTTGTTCTAATAATAAACTATATCAACATCATATCTTTGAACGTTGAATCGGCTTTGCCCATAGTAAGCAATAAATTGGATGCAGGTTCGTGTTTAACAAACAACTTCACCAATCAATTCACCCTTCAACGTTGCTAAAACAATCAACTCATCATCAATATTCGCCAGTAGCAAATCAACTTGTCTTATAGATATCTTAGCTCACTTAGAGTTCATCACATGTTCATCAACCATTCTTAACCCATGATTTCGTGGTGGTAACCCATGGTTCATTCCCCATGGTAACTATTGATCCTATCCGATCCCTATGGATTTCACCCATCAAATATCAGCCGCGGCACCTCCGGGATCAGCAAGCCATTTTGCTCGGTGTTGATCTGGCGGGATGACGGCCATGGGTTTTTAATGGTGATCTAATGGAAATTTAACCGATGGAAAGTGGTGATTTACTGGTGATTTACTGGTGATTTAATGGTGATTGAACCATCCAATATTAGGGATTTCATGACATTTAACCACAGGAAAATTGGGAACCCTCAAATCTTGGGACCCAGATGGATCATGGCAGTGTCGGGACCTCTGGACAGTTTGCCGTGGTGGAATTTCCCACATAAACCTCACAGCTGGCGATGTAACGGTGAAGTTTGGAGGCTCAACCCTTGATGTTGCTGAGGATAACGAGATAAAATGGATAAACAATAAATATCAATGGGAGATAGATCCAATATAGAATTATGATGAATTATGATTGGAGATTTCTCTTTTTATTACATCAAGTTCATCTGCAGCTTGTTGCGTATTCAGTCTGTCGATTCCTACTGGGTGGTTTGGGTTCCTCTAAACATAGGGCTACCCCCAAGTCGGTCCATTTTTCATCTTTCCAATTGAAAGCAGCTAAGTATTGTTTATGTATGTTCTTTTTTTTGGGAACAGATCTCAAAATCCAGTATGCCCATCTGTGGGTTCGATTGAACAGATCTGAAAACCCAATGATTTATCATCATTTGCCCATTAAAACTGGTGATTTCGAGTATCCGGGAGTATCCACGGTATCACGGTACCAATCTTTGAGGTCCTGAAAATCACCGAGCTTGCGGCTCCGCATGAAACCGTGCAGCTCGCTCCTGGAGCCACCTTCGAAAATCATGGTTCATATCACTGCAAGGTGAATTTCCTGATTTTCATCCAAACGGCCATGTTGATTCAACGATGTTAAGCCATGTTAAACCATGTTAAACCATGTTGAACCACTAAATCTAAAGTTGTTGCCGTGGTTGGAGATCCAACCATTGTTCAAATGGACCACTTGAATCGCCAAAGCACGGACTTTTTTTTCAATGGCGAACTAACTCCATCGACTTCGGGGCTTCAGCTACTTTGTAGGCGAAAGAAGGGAACTTGGAAAACGGGATGAACAGAGACTGAACGTGTCTGAACATGTCTGAAGCTCCAACCCCCCACCTCCTGTGCGCTTGTCATGGTCAAAAATGGTTGTCAAAACTGATCTGACATGACATGACCATCCCCATGGTCACAAACTCCGGTTTTGACCATGACATAGTGCAGAACAAGGAATGGCAACAAGAACATTGTCACAACAGCTCCAGCTTCGAAGAATTAGCACATATTAGCACCACACATGAAATATACTGAAACTAACTGAAACCAACTGAAACTGGTAGGAATACCAGGGAGAATGGAGATTCAGGTTGCAACAGCCATCAACTTCATCGGGAAGATCATTTTCGTATGACTTCCCGTGACTTCCGGCATGCTCAAATTCATGCTCGTGGCACGAACTCAAGGGCACTCCAACCGTGGCCAAAGTGAGGACATGAACTTTCTTCAGGGATTTGATGAGTCATTGGTTGTTTTTAGTCATAACACAACTTATGACATATGGTACATGATGGTACATGTTTTCGTGAATTTCTATCTTTTCGCATCCAACTTTTCTGACTTTGGCAGGAGCAGTCAGCTCTTAAACGGCCAGGGGCTGCCAAAAGTTCCAAAGAATTCAAGTGAAAAGCTGCGCATTTCAGACGACTGGTCGTCGTTGGAAAACGCGAAACTCGCCAACTTTCACCTGCCAACGCATCGTGCGTAGAAAGATGTTCAGTGTGTAAATGGGGATGGGTCAAGTTGGTGATGTCAGGGATTCCCTCCCAAGAATTTCACTACCCAACATGCCTTCAACATGCTATATGGTTATAAGTTATATGATGTTATTGCCTGTTATATGTTTCTCCTATGACTGACCAATCTTCGTTTTCAGCACCGCCCATGCCATGGCTTCGTTCGCCTGCCCCAGAAGGGTGGATCCTGAGCATCGAAATCTCCAATGATTCTGCAACGTTCCAAACTTCAATGGAAAACCATGCTTACATAAACTCAATGATTTACAGGATTTACATCATCAGTAAGTTACATCTATTTACATGTATACTTACATGATTTACATCGTAATTTCACATCAGTAAGTTACAACCCTTCCACATCTTCGCCAGGGCACCGCCATGGTCCAATCGAAGTGTCTCTCGTAGTCATCGATGG